CCGGGGGGAGCCAATGTCCTGGTCACGGCTGCGTCCGGAGGGGTCGGCCATTACGCCGTGCAGTTGGCGAAGAAGCTCGGGAACGCTCACGTGACTGCTACTTGCGGCACACGGAACGTGGACCTCGTGAAATCCCTCGGGGCCGACGAGGTTATTGATTACACAACTCCGGAAGGAGCATCTCTCGGGTAAGGGATGGAACCTCTAGAATATTTATTTTTGAATTTTTTTAAATATTTATTATAAAAAGTGATATTTTTGCTGATGTGGTATACGGTAAAAAAGATGGAGAGATTTTAGGTTTTCTTTTAAGATAAGTTTAAATATTGATTGTCTAAAATTGAAAATTTTAGATTTTTTTTTTATAATTTTCCTTTTTTATGAGACAAATGAGTCGAATTATAATCAATATTTTCTAATTGGTTTTAAAAACAAACCGGGTTGAATCGGGCCAAAAAGTTTTGAGATCTTGACGGTTCTAGACTAGGTCGAACCGGACCAACTCGTTTGACACCCTTCATTACATAGTTTTTTCTAATCGTTGCATATATTGTTCATCTGCTATTTGTATTTTTCAGGAGTCCGTCGGGAAAGAAGTACGACGCGGTGATCCACTGCGCGAACGGGATGGGGTTCTCCGCGTTCAGCCCGCACTTGTCGGAAAACGGGAAGGTGATAGACCTGACACCCGGGCCGAGAGCCTTTTGGACATGGCTGGTGCAAAAAGTAACACTGTCCAAGAAGCAACTGGTTCCGTACATAGCCAGCCCTAAGGCAGAGGAGATAGAGCTGATGGTGAGTCTGGTCAAACAAGGAGTGATCAGGACGGTGACCGATTCGAGACATGAACTGAGCAAAGCCGAAGATGGTTGGACCAAAAGCCTTGGAGGTCATGCCACCGGCAAGATCATTGTTGAACCCTAGGATTTTTTATTTTATTTTATTTTATATAAATTTCTAGTTGTATTGATTGAAGTCTATTTTAAGATTTTTTGTATGATATTGATAAGCGTAAAAAAAATATATTCAAAGAGTTTGTGTCTTTAAAAATATTTTTTTGGTATAAAAATATGGGAAGAAAATCATTCTCTATATACAAACACCAAGAGGCCTGCGTAGTCAACTTCAAAGGCTACTCAAAGGCCCATATATAGATCCAGGCCCAGTAAAAGGCCCATTATGCAGCCGCGTCGATCCTTGTCATCTGAGAGCGTAAATAGGCAATTATTGCAGGGGCTTTTTCGTAATTCAGTGTTTATTAATATTAAATCTCTCCCCTTCCCCACCACAGGTCCACAGCCAAGCATTTTCCCCCGTTTCTACTTTTCCTCATTATTTTTTAATAAATGTTTTTTAAATATATATATATATATATATATATATATATATTGTCGTCTTTAATATTTTATTTCGCCAAGAATTATACTTTTATTTCCTTTTCCCTTCGGTTTCTTCTTCTTCTTCTTCTGAATTTCTTCTCCCATGGCTTCCTTAGCAATCTGACTTTCTCTCTCTCCCCTCCTCACCTTCTCTCTCTGTATCTCTCCCCTTCCTGCCGAGATACGACATTGGTGAACTGTGCAATTTTTTCATCAGATCTTCCGTCTTCTCGAATTCTGCTTAATCTCCTGATTAATTTAATAGGTCTCTCTCTATCTCTGTCTCTCTGTTTTCGTTGTATGGTTTCCGTTTTTGGTTTTCCCTGCATATCTGTTTTGCTTCTCGGAGCATAAGAGCCAATTTTTATGGATAAACTCAAATCAAAATTTCTCCATAGAAGATTTTTGATAGAGAAAGGCACTCCGAGAAGGAAACCAATTGTCTTGTTTGTTCCTCGCGTGTTTGTGTGCGTGTTTTTTTAGCAGAGCCGATGAGAGAGGAATAATGGAACAAATTAATTGCCATTAGCTTCAGAGCTTTTAATTGTTTGCCCCAAAAAGATTTGATCTTGTTGTGATTTGGAAACCAATCTGTTCCTTTTTTTCATTTGTTTCGCCTATATTAGACGTTTCAATCTCAATAGATTGCCCAATCAGTAGGACTTGTTGTTGAATTTGCCAATCTTTCTTATGATTCTTATGCCAAGATTAACTGAGTTCTTTGTGTTCCTGAGATAAAGTCGGTTATGGCTTCCGGTCTGGGAACTTAGGCTCCTTATTCTCAGGAACAGATTAGTTGCTTCGTTCCTTACCCTTATCGTTTTATCTACTGAAGGAATGGCATAATCCTTTGCGAATTTCCCTCAGCCCATTTATTTGTTTGTGAATTTTTGGTTGCTTGGGTGTCTTAACATGATTATTTTGTTGTTGGTTATTTTTTGCAGATGGTTTTGACATTCTTTTAGGTGGGAGTTGTTCGAGTTAGATGTTGATACTATCAGGAAATTAGGTGTTCGATTCTTGCAGAGGTTTAATGGAACTGTTCTTGTAGATGATGCTTGCTGATTGCAGCTTGTAGAGGCTGCATTCAAGAATGTTGCTTACGTTTCAGCTTATATTTAGTCAGTCCTATGATGAAAAGCGGGTTTTGGTCGACAATATATATTTCTTGCTACAGTCTAGCGGTAAGCCATTTATGCACACTGGTGGCCGTTCTTGTGCTAAAAGAGTAGACACCTCTTCGGTGTGGAGGTTGTCAGAAGTGAATTGACAAATTCCTTTCTGTGCTGTTGCTAAAAGGGAAATAATGGAAAGGTTATCTTCTCCCTGTTGCATATGTGTGAATCTAAACGAGTTTCTGTGTGCAAAACTGATGGCTTTCCCTTTCGGTCCGTGTTTTTCTCTGTTTAGGTATAAAGTTTTGGAAGAGCTTGGAGATGGTACTTGCGGTAGTGTATATAAGGCCTTCAATATGGAAACATATGAAGTTGTAAGTTGATGAACTACCTTCTCCCAGTCTTTCTCGTCTCTCTGAATTTTCTCTTTCATATTCTTCATGTGCTTTGTGAACTCTGCATGCTTTTCTTAGTACCCTTGAAAAGAATGGATCTTATGCCATTGTCTTGCAAATCTTCACATGCGTTTTAATCTTTTTGCTCTCCACTCCTCAGGTTGCCGTAAAGAAAATGAAGAGAAAATATTACTATTGGGAAGAGTGCATGAATCTACGAGAAGTAAAGGTGCGTGCCTTAGCTTACATCTAAAAATTACTTGCACAGTGAATTTTCTCACAGGCAGTTCAAAGACCCTTTGGCTATCTTCAGAGATGCTTATAATGCTATATTATGCAGGCTCTTCACAAGCTTAATCATCCCAATATCATAAAGTTGAAGGAGGTTGTGAGGGAAAATAACGAACTCTTCTTCATCTTTGAGTGCATGGTAGAGATGAACATCTTCCTTTTCTTTTAGGTGTTCTCTGTTGGATGTTGTTCTTATATTGGTATCTCCCTTCCCAAACTTCCTTTTAGGAACACAATCTTTATCAAATAATGAAAGAACGGGAAAGACCCTTTTCTGAGGGAGAAATAAGAAGTTTTATGTCTCAGATGCTGCAAGGGCTAGCTCATATGCATAAAAATGGCTATTTCCATCGAGATCTGAAACCAGGTATATTTTTCTGCTTCTATAGTTTTGCTATCTTATTAATTGGTAAGAAAGTTCCATCAAAATCTGCAGTCTTGTTCAAGAAATTCTATAGCTTGAAATGTGTAACCAAATGTTGATTCTTTTCTATAGAGAACTTGCTGGTGTCAAATAATATCCTGAAAATTGCCGACTTTGGACTGGCTAGAGAAGTTGCATCATTGCCTCCTTACACCGAATATGTCTCCACGCGTTGGTAAGTTATGTCTTCTGACATTTTCTGGCATGCCTTCCAGCATGCTTGTGGTGGTATTTCTGCGGGCAACATTATCTTAGCTTATAGTTGGCTCTTCTGTCCAGGTATCGAGCTCCAGAAGTTTTACTGCAGTCTTCGTCATACACTCCTGCTGTCGGTGAGCACTGTTTCCTTCTGCAGATTCTTTTTGAGCTTGTAGATTAGGAGTAAGACAGCTGGTTTTTATTTCCTGGTTGGATAATGTCCTAACGTTTAATAGAATTACAGACATGTGGGCAGTGGGAGCAATATTAGCCGAGCTTTTCACTTTATCCCCAATATTCCCTGGTGAAAGGTGAACACTTTCTCCTTGGATTGCCATGATCATGTTGGAACAATGACAAGGCTTACTAAGCATGCAGTGAATCTGATAGAGTTTCTTTCTCTATGAGCAGCGAAATAGATCAATTATACAAGATCTGTTGTGTTCTTGGTAACCCGGACTGGACCTCTTTCCCTCAAGCGAAAGGCATATCTCGAATAATCAGTATTAGTCATTCAGGGGTTAGTTTTTCGTTTAGAGGACACACTGTTTTTCTTTAATTGCACATGGTTATTTACTTTGCTTTTATAATTTCTTGCAGCAGTTTCCACGGACACGAATTTCTGATCTCATCCCTAATGCTTCCCTTGAAGCTATTGACTTAATCACTGTGAGTGATCTATTTCATCCTTTCTAAAAAATTAAATTGTGCTTTTAACAGTTTCTTTTATGTTTCTCTTTTGGTTTCATAGCAACTTTGCTCATGGGACCCTCTGAAACGACCAACTGCAGATCAAGCACTACAGCATCCATTTTTCAATGTAATTCAGATTTCCCTTCCTCCCGTTTGAATTTCTCTTTTCATACCGTTTAAATCATTAAGATTCAACTGACTCGTGCTGCACAGATGACAATGGGGGTTTCATATCCACTTCATGACCTTGAGCTGAGGCTTAATAATACGGGTGAGACTATTTGTTTTGCTCCCCTTTTTGTGGTTTATGCATATTACAAAATGTTCTTCTTTTTTCAGCGGGTCAATTATTCATCTCTCCTTTGTGATATTCTGCAGGAGAAGTGCCAAATCTTGAGCTAAACCTCTGGGACTTTGACACAGAACGGAACGAATGTTTTCTCGGTTTGACACTTGGTGTAAAACCAAGTGCTCCTAAGCTAGGTTAGGATCACTCTCTCGTGTAACTCGTGATTTAGAATTGGTAGGGGTGACAACAAGAAAAGGAAATAGATTAAGCATGGCGTTATGATGTTTGACTGTACCCGTGTCTCGTGGATGCATCTTAAGGGTTATCTAAGCATCTCTTTTAAGATTTGTGAATCCATCTCTACTTTCCTTAAATCACTTACTCTGGTTTCACCAACTTGATTTTTTCTTCTCATCTCATTGCAGAAATGGTCCACAGTGTATCTCAGGGTATGACCGAGGTAAGCTTTTCGGATTCCTGTCCTCATAAGCTGAATAAAAACAAATCGAACTATCGTAAATGAAATCGATATCAGAAAAAAAAAAAAACCCTCCTCGGTGTTTTCACTCAACTCAAGTTTGGTTTACGATGCAGAATATTCTGTTCTGCTCGGGCGTCAACGAAGACACTGAACCATCTGGTAAGAAGATCATATAACCTAGGTGGCCCTTTTCTATATCTCCTCAAAATGTGTATTTGAAAGAAGTCATAGAACAAGTTTTTTCTTTTTTTTTTAAAACATTACAGTTTTCTGGTCACTTGTCTCTCCTCCTGATCAAAATGGCCTCCATGCCCCGGATCTATCTCTCTCCTTCAGGTCAGCTTTCCCATTCCTACAAAGCATCTCTGCTTTAGGCTTTCTTTTATTACATGTACTCTTGTCCTAACCGATATAGAAACCATGGGTGAGCAGTCCGATTCAGCAGCACGCGTCGATTGGACAGCCACAGTCGACGGGCTTCGCCATTGCTTCCTCACTGCAATCCAACATCTTAGACCGCCCGTTACTGGCCGTTTCCGCCCCGTTTCAGCCGAGCCGTTACCTCTGAAACACTCCGTGGAAACGGTACGTAAAAAAAAAAAACCCAACTACTACTACTACAAAAAAAGAAAGAACAGATCTGTGAAGAGTTGTTGTCTGGGCAAAAGAAGAGAGAACATAAGTATGATGATGACATGATCTTCCTATTTGTCTTTTAGCCCTTTTTTTTTTTGGTTCTATACTCTGTAAAGCTTTTGATTCGGTTAACCATCCAATTCAAAAAAAAAATGTATAGATGGAAAGAGATTTATTTTACTGGTTGATTAAATAATTTGTGTCAAAGATGTTTGAGTCTTTGTTTTATGTTTTGGGATCCGACGAATTTGATGTATAAGGTTAATCATATATGGATATGGTAAGAGAATTATGGTACCCATTTTTCCCTTTAATTTGTTTAATCACTTGGGATTTATATTCGGTTGATTTAGAGAGATGTATCACCATTATTACCATGGTAACATTTTTTCTAATTGGGGGATTAACTAATTGCGTAGTAATCGACGCTTGGCAATCGTGTCTCCCTTTGTAATTTGATGCGGACATCTTTAATTAATTGATTAATTTCTTTCTTCCCTCACATTATAATTCTTTTGGTCATACACATATATATATATATATATGTACACATACATCCAACAATTCTAACCATTGTTGAAAAGTTCAGTTAACCCATGTAATAAAAGCTGTAAAGTCTCAACCTTTACCTAAAACTAAACGTCTAAAATCTTATATACTAAACCCTTTATATAAAAAAGAAAAAATTCTAAAAAAAACACTGAATTTTTTTATTTTGATAAAAAAAATACTTAACTTTTTATTTTATCAAATAAATATTAAATTTTTTAAACGAATTTAAAAAATACTAAACTTTTTAAGTGATCTAAAAAATATATGATTTTTTCTGAGATTATAAAAAAATACTAAATTTTTTTAGTAATCCAAAAAAATATATAAACATTTTTCGATGGTAAAAAATAAACTAAGTAAAATAATTTGACGTGTTTCGTCTCTTTATACTATGTCAATCATTTTATTTATTTTGATAATTATAGAAAAGTTAAATATTTGTTTTATCAAATTTAAAAAGTTTAATATTTATTTGATAAAATAAAAGATTTAATATTTTTTTAAAAAATTTGAAAATTAGGGTATTTATTTTTGGATTTTTTTCCAACTATAAAAAAAATAAATAAATAATCTATTCACCTCCGTGACACGTCTTTCTCTCTCTCTGGGTGGCCCCTTTATATATACCCTTTACCCCTACCTCGTCCCAAATTTCTTTTCTTCCCTTGTGGGTAGAGAGAGAGAGAGAGAGAGAGAGAGAGATTTCGTCAGCATCAACAAACACCAGGAGAAAAAAACACATTGTCAAAGACCTTCACATGTACCCTTTTGAACGTGTGTGTATAGAGAGGTACACACAATGTGTTCATGTATATATGTTTTGTTTGTGTGCATATGAAGGAATGCGGAAAAGAAAGAACGGAACTTTGATTGATCCCTCTCTTTATTCTTTCTCCCTCTTTCAAAATCCCTGAAATCGCCTGTTTAAATGCTTGACCCAAGTCGCAATTTTTGGAAAAACTTATGATTTCATGTGCCTTTCCCTTACAAATAGGATTTTTTTTTAAAATTTTTGGTTGTGTTTAGCATATAAATCTCATGGTCTCTTTAATTTGGGTTTCGGATATAATATGGTGATTTGCAACTTTCTCGATGATTTGGTTCTGGTTTATAAAAAAAGACGGCGACTTTCTAGGGTTTGGCTGGTCTATTGCTGTGTACTGTTAAGTTCAGCTCTTGGAGTTTTGTTTAAGCAGCAAATTGAAGGTTAAAGTTTGGATATTTTTTACTGCTGGAAAAAAAATATTATGGCCAATGAATCTTGACGCTGCAAATTTCACAATCTGTTGCAAAAAGCATCAGATATAGTTTTGTTCTCCAATCAGATGGTGGAAATCTGCCCTTAGGACTGTTACATTTCCTTGTAGTTGTGGAAAAATACGTGTTCTGATTTGGGTTGCTGATGATGATGATGGGCAGGTGATATATCCTCTGGTTGGTCTGATAGAAAAATCTGAATCTCGCCGGCTGTTATTTGGACCGGTGAGCTTTGACATTGATGAAGTTATTAGGTTTGATGGGTTTGGAGTCATATATGCATTGAAGGATCATACAGTGGTAGTGAGTGTTAGGACATGGTGGATAGATTTTCTAGTTTCTAGAATGTTCCAGTGTCGGAACAGAGGTCGGAGAAACTGGTAGTAGAAGTGGACGAACCCCACCTGGGCAGCCTCTGCATTCGATCCCTAATGTCCCGTTGCTACCCATTTCCACCACCGGGATATGAGAAGAAGATCGTGATTGATCATGTAGACGTGCTTTCAAAGGTGCAAATTCCTTAACTTTCTTATTTAACCGTTATTTCATTCTTTGTTTATACTGAGTTACGAATTTGGAATTTATGCGGCCAGACTCCAAATAAACTTGTGACTAAGAAGCTGCTGTTGTTATTGAATTGATATCTCCTTGTTCATCATGGGCATTTTTAGGGTAAGTCTTTGTGATTTTTAGGGTATGCTACTGGGCAAAAGATTTGCAGTGTTGGGGCACTAAAGGAATGGAATGTCGGGTTTTCTGTCAAAACAGAAGTCTTCTAGGAATGAAATGTCGGGTTTGGAAATATAGTGCTCTAGAGGAAACGGTATCAACACTAGTTTAATGAATCTATCATGCATTTTATGGAACGTTTGCCCGATAAGGAAAGCCATCCCTATGTCCCCGTGACAGCAACTCCGTTAAAATAGTCTCTTTTTCATGAACTGCTTTTGGAATGTAAATGACTTCCAATTCCATACCTCTGACACGGTATGACAAAGACGATGAAGAAAGAAACTTCGATACAATAACATCTCAACACATCTTTTCCATAACAAATGGTTTTGCTGTTCTGTCTCTTTCGTCTTTTTCCGCAACAAAAGGGTTTTCGTACTCTTACATCTTGGCCCGGCATCTTACATTTTCTTCCTTTTTCTCTCATACATCTCTATGTTCATTGTCTCATGGAAGTTTGGTTTGCAGGAGAAGCACACGGAGAAGAAGCATAAAAAAGGTAAGGATAGAGAAAAGAAAGATGGAAAGGTTAAGAAGGACAAAGATAGAAGTAAAGAAAAAGGCAAAGAAAGGAAAGATCGTAGAGAAAAACACCATGGCAAGAAGGATCGGAAGGAAAAGGGCAAAGACATAGTGAAAAATCGTGTAACTTCAAACGATAAGAAAAAGCCCGAAGTTCACCTGAATTCTGTCAATGGAGCTACAGCTAATTCAAACGGGCTGCAGACCGAGAACCATAACTCTGAGAACCCTAATGTTGCTAAGGAAGTGGTTAGAAGAATCAGAGCTGAAGGACAAGCAAATGGAGATCAGATTGCACACAAGAATACAGCAGCTGATGAAGGAACGTTTAATGGTGTGATCAACTCTTGTAATTTATCGGGGTTGCCGAAAAGAATGGTGGAGAAAGAGAACAGGGCATTGGGAGGTTCGGTTCTTCAGAAAGTTATGTTCGTGGATCAGGCAGAGGCTCAGGTTCACATTAAAACAAACGGTAGAAATGGTTGCATTTCCCCAAGACCGAACCAAATAGGAAACAGTAGACAAGTTGATGATAGTATGGTTCATGGTACAGTGGATCTTAGCCATTTACAGGATTTGACGGATATAATGGTGGAGAAAGCGAAAAATGGATTGGGAGGCCAAAATTTTCAGAAAATCGGACTCGTGAATCATGCAAAGGTTAGAGTGCACACGAGAATCGATGATGGGAATGTTTGCTTTGTGCCAGATCCAAATGGAAAAGGAAAGGATATACAGGTTGATGGTAGAGTGGTCAATGGTGCCACGGATTCCAGTCATTTACAGGTTTTGCCAAAAAGAAATTGGGCAGAAGATAAAAATGGATCAAGAGGCCAAATTGTTCAGAAATCCGGGCTTGTGGATCAGGTGAAGGTTCAAATACACACAAGAACTGATGATGGAAATGTTTGCATTGTCTCAGAATCCAATGGAAAGGAAAAGGGTACACAAGTTAATGGTAGAGCGGTAAATGATAAGATGGATTCCAGTCATTTACGGGTTTCGGTGCAAAGAAAGGAGAAAAATGGATTTGGAGGGCAAATCATTCAGAAAATCAGACTTGTGGATCAGGAAAAGTTTCAAATAAACTCGAGAACTGATGATGGAAATGATTGCTTTCACCCGAAACCTAATGGAAAGGAAAAGATTACGCATGTTGCTGTTAATGGTGGTGAGTACATTGAGGAGGCAATGAATGCCAAGAATGTAGTTGCTAAACCATCAGAGGCCACGAATGTCAGAATAGATTCAGAGGGAACTGGCAAAAGTAAATATACCCCGGAAAGCAATTATAAGCTGGACAGACACGAGAGTAAAGATCGGGCTAGCAAAAGCGAGCTGAAGGATGAAGCCGGAGATAAAGAAAAGATAAGGGAAGAGAAATCGAAGGAGAAGGGTGAGCTCAGCAACGGGCAGTCCAAAGGTATCATCACTGGCCAGATGCTAGCCGGTGATGGAGATCTTGGCAAACGAAAGGAGCTTGAGATAAACGGTTTTCTGCATGGTTAGTCCTACAATAAACCATGTTTTACATGTCTGTATATTATATCGACTATGTACTCTATGTTCTATGAATTTTCTTACAGACAGCGGAAGTAGACCCCATAAGTTGCGGAGGCCGGTTTCTTCCTCTCCAACAGAGAAGCACGAGACAGATTCTGATGTGGTGGGGTTAAAGAACGGTTTAATCAGCTCGAAAAGCCCTTTGCCTGCAGCCATGGAAGCTTCAACGAGACCCCCTCATGAAGATTCCGTGATTCTGGATCGTATACTTTCCATACCCGAAATGGACAGAACACCGGGTTTAGATGATCAAGAATGGCTGTTCTGTAACCGAGAATCCGTCAAGATTCTTCATCACGAGCTGAATTCCTCCGAGAGACAAATGGTGTGGAGCCATGGCACAAGGATCGAATCTGTAGGTATGTTTGCCCTTCCTTACGTCGTCCCACACTAGAGAGCTTTTGCCTTTTGGTCCGTGTCTCGCCCTCTGGAAGAACCAAGAAAAGCTTCAATGGCAACTGAAACATAGAGACAAGACTTCATGGAAGATGATTATACATGGGCATACATAGGAATCGAGAGTTATAGAGATTTTTTCCCAGACAGTTCTGATTTTGGATGTCGTTGTCACATCAGAAAGATGAAATGAAGAGGGAAGAAGAGAACTGTAAATTTGTGGTGTTGAATGATCTGGATTCTAACTTTGTGTTAGAAAAGATTCCATTTCCTAGATTCGGACATATCTTTAAACTGTCATGTCTTCATAGATTCAAGAATTCTGTCAAAGGAAATTATATTTTGTATATTTAAAGATTTTGATGATCACAGTCTTCAAAAGCTGGTAGCTTTCTGTTCCTTTCTGTTGTGTCCTTCATGCATGTTCTATCATCAACAAGAGATGATAAAGGACTCTTTGTCGGATTCACGACCTTATAGTTTTGTCATTATTTATAGATATATTTTATATAAAGATTTGTGAAAATTTGCGAATTCTATGATTAAAAATACAACTTTTAATTTGACAAATGAATATATTATATTTAAAAAATACCTCAATTATTTAAATAAAAACAATTTTATATACAGTTTTTAATTAAATCACCCATAATTCTACTCAAATTGTTTAAAATTGTTTCTTAGACGAGTTTTAACATATTTTAACTATCAATTTCATATTTTGATCTTAACGACTTCGTTGATATATAGAAATTTACTTTCAATTTCGAGATTTGAGATGATACATTTCAACATTTGATATATTTATTTATCAAATTAAAAATTAATATATTTTTTTGGCACATTTTATAAAGTTTTCGGAAAATTTTATAAGATTTTTCCTATTTTTTTAAGGAAACAAAAAATACATATTATTGTGTAATAATCTATTAAAATTTTAAAAGAAACAGCAATAATAACCATTACCTAAACCAAAATTAGTATACATCTTTATGAGAATGAGCTAAAAAACGTTGAAACGGGAACAACAAATACACACAAACCTAAATCTAAGTACTATCTATCCAAATATATCATTGGGCATCCTTAAATTAAGAAACACATCTCTCTATATATACACACACATATACAAACATCATAACGAAACATCACAAAATAAATACAATCAAAACAAGGGGCCAAAAAAAAAAGATGAAGAAGGGTGGGGTGATATATATGATGATGGTGGTGATGGTGATGATGATGAGTGCGGTGGTGATGGCAGATTCCGGTGGCCGGAAATACATAAATCCGGGGGTGATGAGTCCATGCCACGGGCCGAATCCGCCGCCGGGATGTTATCCGGAGAATATGAAGCGCCAAAAGCCAGAGCCTATTCACAAATACAGACGTGGCTGCCATAAACACCACCGTTGCCGTGGATAATTTCATTTCATATATATAAATATATGACCTTCTAGACGGTCCACGTGAACAAAATATAAAATAATACTAATACGTTTTTTTATTTTCTAGGGTTACCGATGGTAACTAAAGTTAAAGTAGTTTAACCGGTGATACGGAAGTGAATATGTATGTTCCGTCCCGAGTTTAAACTTTAAATTTAAAGAATAAATGTATAATTTATATCAAAAAATTAATATTCGATGTCATGATATGTTTTGGTTCGTGATTCATAATACCGATTACCAAAAAAAAAATGATTACCCATTGTACAGTTGTACTTGTCAATCACGTATCATTCGAGTGTCTCACGTGGTGATAAAAATGGTTAATGGTCAACGGGACCATTCCCACTTAGATATGTAGTAGCATATATACGTATAATATATATATATATATAGTTTTATCGCTGCGTATGTTCATTTTCTAGTATATATTCAAATGAATTTGATCATATATATATATATGTGAAGATGCTTGTAAATTTTTCCTTAATTGTATGATTATTTACTTAGAATAATCTCCACGATCGTATTTATATTTTCGGGGGAAAATCTCAAAATCTTTTGAAAACGAGTAACAAAACTAAGTTAACAAAAAAGATAAATATAATAATAATAATAATAATAATAATAATATTAAAAGAGGACCTATATATATATATATATATCAGTATTTAATTCTTTGTAAAAAAGGAAGAATATCGTATTCTAATATTTCCAAAAGAAACAACATTGACCCATAATAAAAAAAAATGTAAAAGGAATCAAATAAGATATTTATTTTTCCAAACCTAGGCAAAAGGCAACTGAAGTCAAAATGAAAATAATATGCTCTCATCACACGTGTCAAATTCTTGTTGGCTACTTTTATCCGATACCTAGATGCCACGTCATCGATCTTATTCCCTCCTCATGTCTGCAAAAAAAAAACGTACTTCCTTCGCTTTCAGCAACGCATCACAAAAACCCTTACAGAGAGAGAGAGAGAGAGAGAGAGAGAGAGAGAAAGAGAAATATAGGTTTTTCTCTCTCTAGAACACGTGAAGAAGAAGGAGGGCATAACAATGGGGAAGAGAAGAGGAATCTCTGCAGTGAGCGTCCTTTTCGGGTGGTTGAGAAGGCAATCGAAGAAGGTTAAGACAGCTCTCGGAATCATCCTGTCTCTGCTCCTTGTCGTCTCTCTGAGATTCACAGTGAAGAATCACAACCACTTCTTCGTCGCCTCCGAAGCCATTCACGCCGCCGGAATTTTTGTTCTGATCTACAAACTCACCCGTCAAAAGACCTGCTCCGGTATCATCCTCACCCTTTCTCTCCCGAATTTTTCAGATTTTTTATGGGTTTATTTTCTGGGTTTTCGTTTGAAATTGTGCATTGATCATCACGTTTAATGCGATCTATCACGAGTTTTAATTCTCTAACTAATGAAATTAAGAGTTTTGTGGCTTTGGTCATTGCTTAGACGCTTTGACCATTGATGATGTGATAGGTGTGAATTTCAACAGGTGTATGTATTTTATTTATTAGAAATTCTATCACAGGATAGCAAAAATTTAATGATTAATTAGAATAAGTTTGGTTTTTTGTTTGGGAATGTTTAAAAAATCCAATTTTTTTTTTGCCTCAACTCGAGAAATGTTTGAATCTTTCATAAAGTAGTTCCTTTGGGACTTGAAAAGTTTGAATTTTTTGTTGACCCTAAAGCTCAATTCAGTGTTTTTCATTTGGGTACCTTTATGCAATATGCATACATACATATATATATATATATTGGAAGTTTGGTTTTGGCTTGGGAATGTAACTTTCAAAAAGTATTTCTTTTGAGACTTGAAAAGTTTGGATTATTTGTTCACCCAAGAGCTCAATTTAATGTTTTTCATTTGGGTATCTTCATGCTATATATATATATATATTGGAAGTTTGATTTTTGTTTGTGGATGTTTAAAAACCCAAACTTTTTGCCTCAACTCCTAGAAAAGTTTGAAACTTTCACAAAGTAGTTCCTTTAAGACTTGAAAATCTTGGATTTTTTGTTCATCCAAAAGCTCAATTTGGTGTTTTTGTTTTCAATTGGGTATCTTTATGCAATATGCTTAATTGTAACTTCTTGCTTTGGATTATTAAACATGTTTAGGTCTTTCTTTGAAGTCCCAAGAAGTCACAGCACTATTTCTTGCTGTGAGGCTGATCTGCAGCCTAAACATGGAAGGTGACATCCATACGTTTCTCGATCTCGCCACCTTTGTATTGACCCTATGGGTCATCTATATGATCCGGTTCAAGTTGAACTCGTCTTATGTCAAGGAGCTCGACAATGTCCCCATCTGCTATCTGGTAAATCGTGTCTCTGTTCCATTCGAAATAAGATGATCCGAGGAAGCGCTATCTGGTAAACTGTGTTTCTTTCTTTCCAGGTTGTGCCATCTGCTGTCCTTGCATTGCTCATCAATCCTATTACTCATGGTTTCGTAACTCGGGTCATGTGGGCATTCTGCGTTTACTCGGAATCTGTATCCGTTCTTCCTCAGCTTCGAATGATGCAAAATGCCAAGGTTTACCCATCTGCAGAAAGATTCTTGTGTTCTGCATATATTTTTCGTATCTGTTGATCATGTTTAATGTATACTTGAGCGGTATTTTCCTTTTTATCAGTTCTTGCTGTTACAACTCATACTTTCTCCTCGGATTTCATTTCAGATGATAGAGCCATTCACGGCTCACTACGTGTTTGCGCTCGGGATTGCAAGATTCTTGGCATGCGCTCATTGGCTTATCCAGGCAAGTTCTTGTTTGTACATAACTTAAAACAATATAATTCAGGAAACACACTGAGTTGCTGAGATTAGTGATCGGGGGAAATGCAGGTTTACGAGACGGGAGGACAGTACCTATGGCTGATAGGGGCCGGTTACTTGTGGTTCCCGGCCGCTCTACTGGCCGAGATTGTTCAAACGTTCATCCTCGCCGACTTCTGCTATTACTATGTCAAAAGGTAACATCTTTTGCCTCTTTCTGCTGTAGATTGTTAACAAAAGTTGCAGACTTTTGGATCATACATAGGCCGAAACGTTTTACACGAAATCGACGAACGGATCGAATGAGGAAAAGGGTACGTCCATTTGAATTTCGTGACATCGTTTACTTGAACGGTTTTGCAGTGTGATGGATGGACAGCTTGTGATGAAGATGCCAGTTTAGGTGAACAGAGCTTGTTTTTTAAAGCTGAAACACAACACAAGCACATGGTCTATAAAACGATGCTGCTTCAACTTTTTTGTAGTAAGAATCTGGTAAAACTAGTGTTTTATAACTTATTTTTTATTTGAATTTTTAATGGGTTTGTCATTAAAGAAACTAATTGCATATGTTTAATATTCAGGCGTAAGAATTTGTTCACTTAGAATCTTGTGCTTTTCCCTAACTTCCTAAGCCCAAGTATATTTTCTGTCTATTTTTCATGGATAATTTAATATTTCAATAAATATTCATTTTATATTTGTTTACGAAAAAAAAATAATATCTTTGCAAATTGGTGCAAAGGTATAAATATTCATTATATCTTGTGCTTTTCCCTAGCTTCTATTGACTACCCAATGGTTACTTTTATAGTTAAGTCATGATAGCTAAGAGCAAATATGTAAAAATATCTGCTAAATAAATTAGAAAAGAAATTATTGTTAGGGAAAAATGAAAACAAAGTTCCATTTTGGCACCTATACTTATTAAGTATTACGATGAATAATGTTTATAGAAAATGAGGATTTTGATTCTGTTATTGTTTAGTTTAGATTTTTTATTTTAAAGAAATATCTGTTTTGATTTGGATTAAATTTTCTAAAAATAATCATCATTTCTTAAAAAACAGTTGGCCTATTTGGTTAATTTGTTTTTTTTAAAACACACTACAATCATATTTCATTTGTATAACCGAACCGAAATAAAACTCGTATTAAATCATTGGTATCACCATTTTCCAAAGTGGACAAATGATGTTTGAACGTTCAACACAGCATAAAGGGTAAATGACTTCGGCACTTTGTACAACCTTACCTTTGACATGCACCAAATGGATATATATATATATATATAACAAAGTGTAACACTGAAAATATTCAACACTTTTGCTCCCAAATGAACAATTTGCGTAAAACTATTCCAAATTAATTAATAACGACCTAATAAATCTTAATTAAAAACCCCCCACAAGAAATGGACCCCCTCCTCTTATTGAATAGAAACAGTTCGGTTCTTGCTTTGCATCTAAGTGATTCCCTCCTTAAACCTCCAACGGAACGTGACGAAATTCTTCACTTCCCGAGTCAAAATACGATATATATATATATATATATATGTAAAATCACGTGCCGAAATTGCATTGCTGTACGAAATCGAGGTCGTAGTCGACGTGCTTGGTCCAGAGAGGACGGAACTGGTTCATGGCAATGTCAAGCCACGGCTTCATGTTGCCGTTGAAGTGTACGACCGCCGCGTTGCGGATCTCGTCCATGCTTATGCTGGGGTTGTATCCTAGCCCGAGCACGTGCCACGACTTGTCCAGCGGTTTCGTGGTCGAGTAATACGTTATCAGCCCCGGCGGCAGTGTTCCCAGTTTCCACAGCGTCCTGTTCTCGTTCTGCATTTATGATAACTAGTCAGTTGTCACTTAAGACTGGGCGAGTGCCCGCCGCCAAGACGGGTGCCATAAGGCCAAGACCTGGATTCCAGATTCCAGTTCAGTTTTTTCAAAATTCAAACCACGAGAGGTTACTCGCGGTCGCGGGTACCCGTGTATTTAGAATAAAATTACGTTTATATTTCTAACTAAAAGAAAGATCGATTATTTGGGATCCCTACTTTCTTCAAAAGAAAGGAGAGAGATAGAATTGGACCGATTCCCTAAATACTTTTCTCATAAAATCTATTTACAATAATACCTATATCTATTTGCACAAAATTATCAATATATCCCTAAAATATTTGAAATTTCTGTGAGTTTGGGTTCCAAACGGGGTATCCGACTTCAACTGCAGTATCTGGGTGCTCATTCTCGCGCGATCGAGACTGAGATAATATCCCCAGAAAACCCGAGAGGATGAAGCCGAGGCCGGATACCCGACCCATAAACTCTACTTGTGATGCGCTGGTTCAAGCTAAATCCAATTTATCAAAATACCATTCAATATAGCAGACTAGGATTTCAAATCAGAGAAAATCTTACCAGATTTTGCCAGTAGTGATACTCTTCAGTGCACTTCTCCCTCCTCCAAGCATCCAAATCAAAGAAGTTCATTCCGTATGCCCACGCACACGCTTTCGGGTTAAACTTCTCTTTAATCAACGGGTGGGAGAAATTCATGTATTGAGCGTACCGATGGAACGAGCCAAAACAAGTCTCTACTGCTCCATTCACCTTCCCGTCCATATCAATTTCCCACAACCCGGTCAAGTCCTTCTGTACAACCACATCGTCGTCCAAGAACAGTATCCTATGTAGATTCGGGTACATCTCGGGTAAATAAAACCTCAAGTGATTCAGTATAGACAAGTACTTGGGGTTCCTGAACTTCATGTTCGTGGTATCCTTTGTGGCGTTCTCGAGCTTATTCTCGAAATAGAATCTCTGAAGATTCGCAGATTCCAATTGCTTCAACACAGGTACGTACGATGAGTTTAGAAACTTGTAGTCCTCGACTGCTTTCACCTCTATGTGTGCACCGTTATATTCCTTCAATTTAAACATAACCTGCATTGCCCCGAGATTCATCTTATCGGTCACGACATGGAACACGTGCTTCCATGGCTCCTTGGCATTTTTCACGGCTGAGTTCACCACTACGGACGCCGCAATCACATTGTCTGAAAATATAGCGTAATGGTAAAGTTTAGGATCCTCCAATTCTGGAGGTGTAGGCTTCCCTTCATCGGTGTACTTCTCCGGGTGAGCAATCCTCTCCTCCATTAGTCTCATCGCAAGGCAATGCAAGCTCTTCGGTATTGATTTTGCTGCGATCAAGCTGGAGAAAGCCCCTTGCTTCTTAGCCTTGGTTAACTGCTCGTTAACCGCAAAAATCGTGTCCTTTAGCTTCTGTATCTTGAGCTGGTTATCAAACGACTCTTTGGCTTCGGCAATCACTTGCCGAGTCATTTTGATCCGCTCCTTCACTTCCTTCTCGAATTTCCGAAGCACTGTCTCATCCATCGAAGCCCCATCAGAATCATACAGAGCACGATAAGATGGCTTGTTAATCAGATCCGTGTAATTCCTTGAAAGATCGGCAAAAACTCTAACGAGCTTAGAGTTCTCGAGCTTAAGCTTCCGCGCATATGACGCGTAAGCTAGAGCCAGAGACCGGTGGTCATCAGCTTGTTTCCGGATCTGGATCAAGCGTGGCTTGAGCGGATCCGACTTCACATCCAATATGGATCTCCTGGTGAATCCAAATCCATTTGATTTCGAATCGGCGCCCTAATCGACAGATTAATAACTTCAGTGAATACATATTGCTCAAGAAGTGAAATTAATTCCGAAATTAAGCAGAATCTTCGTCAGATTTACGTTAAGCTCCAACTGGAACTGACATCTTGAATCGAAAACGGATGCAATTATAATTAATGCAAATACAAATGACAGGAGCTGGTGTACAAAATGCACATTCAATCTCAACCTTAAAGTCTTAGTACCAAATCATTTCCTAGAAAGCGCCGCCACTAGATCCCTGTTTGTTTCCGGAGAAAAAACCACAGAAATGAAATCCGTGACACAGAGAAAGAGAGCTTACGGAGACATGGAGATCAGACGGATCGTACTCAGAAGCGAAGAGAAACGAGAAGCTGAAGAAGAGGAGAACCGCCGCCGACGTGACGAAAGCCAACCGGCCAATCACCGGAGATCCGCCGCGGCGTGAGAGCCGGTGTGGATTAGCCATTTTGCCGCGCAATGCTCTTTCACGATCCGACTAAACCTTTGTGAATTTTCATGCAATCTCTCGTGGAATTGGGAACCCCTTTCTCTCTGATCCAGTGAGAATCTGCTACGAGCCAAGTTCAGATGCAGACGAATTTGATATAGAGACGGACGCGGAGAAATCTGGACCGTTGATAGTGTGCTCGTTAAACATCAACGGTTCAGATTAGTGGAAATTTGCCGGTGGGAATCTGGGTGGAATATCACTAGCCATTATCATGGTCACCTCACAGCTTTTTCTGTGTTCCCATTTGACCGATTTCGATTTTTTTATTATATAAAATTAGCATATACTTATATTTGAGTGAAAATAATTTAAATAGAACTCTTAAAACTAAAATAATGAAAATTCAAATTAAATATAAAAATAAATAAATCAATAAATAACGAAAATATTTAAATCTGTTATTTTACGAGTAAAAAAGCATGTTAACTTTCGTTTTCTATCTTAATAAAATGAAAAATGATTAATCTTGTTATAAAATACAGGCATAATTCTATAATGGCCTAATATCATTGTGAAAATATATAATAAATGATATATCTTGGGATTGGTATTGAGGCATTGTTGTTCTGTGTGTGTGTTTGTATAGTTTTGTGTAAATATATGTTAGTATACTTTTTTATTATTATATAATGATAAATTTAATTTATATAAGCTGATGAGATACAGCTCAAAATTTATATATATCATGAAAATTATTAATATTTAAATTACAAGTGTACACATATTAAGCATTTTAGACACATAACTATTTCTAATGTATTTTTTAGGAACTATATATATAGTTTCATCAGTCAAATAATCAAGTTTAATAATGCTTATCGAAATGAATGCATTGTAAATTAACCTCAAGCATTGGTGAACTCGAAAAAATTACTTCAAAACAACTCAATTACATGTGTTTAAAAGATAACACAAAATATAAATTATTATTATTATTATTGTTGTTGTTGTTGTATGCATTTAATTTGGAATCTTGAACAATTTAATTCTCTCTAATTTAAATCATTAATACAAAGAAACTGAACACACACACACACACACACATATATATATATATATATATATATATATATATATACAAAGTGAGAATCTAAGATGAATTACAGATAGAAATTTCCCGATTTAAATGCAAATAGAAATAGAAAATTGTCATAAATTATAATAACATTTTTACATATATCGAGAAAAGGTCAATATAAATTTTTAAAAAAACATATCTAATAAAAACATCCTCAATTACTACCATTTTGGTTCTATATCTTTTTGTACTGTTGCCCTTCTTCTCGTTTTGACCCTATTCTCCAAAAAATCAAAATTAAGTGAAACACATGATATGGCAATGCCTCGAAATCATCTTATTATTCAAGAAAAAAATTCATACAACATATGATGTTAGATGATCCAATATATCTGTCGTGTTTCATATGTTAGGAGAAAAAATATGTCATATAAAAAAAGATCTTATTAAAAAATCAGAAAAAATATTTTAAGATATCGAAAGTATGAATATGATGACGAAAATAATATTTATATGATGTAATTTCGTTTATTTATATAAATATTATTTTCTCCATCATATTCATACTTTCTATATCTTAAAATATTTTTTTCTAATTTTTTAATAAGATTTTTTTATATAGTGTAATTTCGTTTATTTATATCAATAATTAGTTGGTGGTCCCATGGTTGAGAGGTGGCAAAATTCCTTTGAGGTTCTGATTCGATTCCACTTGTAAAGAGGAGGAGACCCAATTAATTACGTGATTAAAGACCGACTCCGGACGCAAGAGGATTAAGTGGGCTGAAATGTCAATGAACTTTCTGATTATAAAAAAAAATCGTTTATTTATAAAATTAATTGTTATTTGTTGTATTTATTTACAATATTATATATATTAAATGGTTAATATATAATATTTTTTACATGGGTTTTTTAAACTAAAATTTATTCAAAATCAGTTTTTAGCAGATTTATTTAAAATGTCAATTTATCTATTGTTCGCGCGCGATAATTGTTTCCATATCGTTCGCGCCATAATTTTTAAAAGTATTTTTTTTTAGAATTAGTATATTTGAAAAACAAGTAAACACAAAAGTTTTTATAATGTAAAGAGTATCTAACATTTTCCAAAAGTATTGTTTCAAATGGATGTTTTCATAAAGAATGAAGCGTACAGAAGAATCAACAAAAATTAGTGAAGGCAAGGAGAAGCTTTTAGTGATCAAAAAACCATTTAGATTTAGAACTCCAAGGCGACTGTAAGGCCAAAATGGGGAAACAGATACAATAGAAGAAGAATCACACGGTCCCTTTCTCGATTCAACCATTTCATACATGGTTTTTATTTATACGATATATATATATATATATATATATGTATATATTACACTATATTCGAATTTTTTTCCTTCTTTTAAATATTTTTTATTTATTTTTTAATCTCCTTATTTTTACGAATCAAAATGAAAAGAGGCCAAAAGGTGGCAGATGCATGTGCCCCAACATCACAACCCTTTTTTTTTATGCAAAGCCAAAAAGGGGGAAAAAAAAGCTCGAACTATATAAGACAGTGAAGCTAGCAGCGGCCGCCTTCATCCTCTTCTCTGATAAAGCGCTCAATTACTCTCTTATCGCTCAGATTGTCGTCTCCTGGGAAAATCTCTCTGGTGTTTTCCTTTGTTGCGTTCCTTCTTCCGAGGTATAAAGATTGGATTTTGATGCAATGGGTCGGTTTTTGTTGAGATTCTGTGTAATGGGTGTGCTCTCCTTTTGCGTTTTATGATGTTCTTATTGCATTTGATGGCGATCTTGTTTTCACACGACATAAAAATCTGATCTTTGGTCGTATTTGTCATGTGGGTTTTCTGAGTTCGTGTCTTTTTCTTTTTTCTTTTTTCCCTTTTCGAATTGTTTGTTTCTAGGTTTTCGTGATCTTCGGTTTCTGAGTTCGTGGCTCAATGTGTAATTTTGATTGTTTTCGTATGATCCAAGGTGCCCTTTTCGTCTGCAATTCAATCAGAATTCCATTCCGCACGAATCGCATATTAAATTCCATGGATTTATATACGTACGCTTACGAATCCTAGACGGTGAAGTTGATGAATTCTCTGTAAGGGCATTAATCGATTGTGATTAGGGATTGAAGTATCTTCTCGTGGGATTTGAATTTGTCTAGATGTTCTGTCTGTGGCCTGGAAAGAAAAGAAAAAACATGTGGGGATCCGATACAGTTCATGGGGCTTGAACGGGCGAACTCAGTTCATCCTCTCCCCTCTATCTAAAGACTCCATTTAATTCCTATGTTCTTGTTGTTAGGCTGAGAGTACAACCCCTTGTGAAAACAATGCTTGAAAAGATTTCCTTTTGAATCATAAACTAGCAATGAGGCAGCTTCTTTCATCATCATCATCTATTGTATATAAACCTTTTCGGGTATCTGAGTCATTCCTTTCTTGAACTTTGCTTATGTAGACTGTTTTCCTAACCGATTAGTATCTCTTTGCCGGTGTTTAGGAGTGGAGAAAAGACCCGAAAGCTGCAATGGTGAGCCTCCGAAAGCGTAGGCTATTGAACTGCTGCGGTAATATATTCATCGCGGTGTTTTTGCATTGTCTCTGTTGTGACCTAACATTTGTATATTGACAGCTTTTACCGAACGTTTTGTGATCCAGAGTGGAGTTTTAACCGCTAGGTTTATGCCCTTTTGTAGGACCGACTAGTTTCATTACTCCGCTTCCATTTTTAACTTCCGAGGAATATACCACCGGAGTACGGAACCCCGACGCTGAAGTTTATAAAAATCGTGGGCCGATAGAAGGAACTCTACCGCCGATAGAGTATCCTGAGGAGGTAACACACAAAAAAAAAGTGTTGTTCTTCGATAATATCTCATGATTCTCATCCGAATTTGCATGTCTTTTGCTTTCTTGCCCTGTCGTGTTTAGGAAATAATCGAAAATTCTGGGTTTGATGTTGTGATTATGCTCTGTTTAAGTGGTTTAGGCGATTTATCGGATCAACCACGTTAACAAAATACCATATTAACGTCGAAAAGGGCATTTTTTACTCACGTATATGACGTTTTAGGTAAGACGCTAATCCATGCAAGTATCTTCTGTTTGCGTATCTACGTGAAATTCTCGTGTAGAATACGCAAATAGAAGATACTTGCATGAGATTCTCGGTCGAGTTTTCATGCATTTTTTAGAGTTGTACACTCTACTATACGCTCCTACCCGTCGATACTTACTTCTGCTGGTTCATTTGGGTTTGGCAGAACTCCAAAATCAAAGAAGTGTTTTACCCACCAATCCCGAGACCCCTTGCGGTAAAAGTAGAGCCCGTCTCGTCGAATGATTCTGGTTCCTTCTCGCTGAAAGAGCTTCAACACATATCAGCATTTTCGGGTATAATTCTCGCCTGATAGCTATAAACCCTTTCTCACTAGAGCCTTTTTGTGAATGATTTCTGTTGTTTCATGATGATTTCACGATCTTTTCTTGCAGTGACAGACCCACCAAACCAAGAACCGTGTTCGATGAGAGGGGTCTACTTCAAGAACATGGAATGGGTAGCTGCCATAGAAGTGGACAAGAAACAGATCCATTTGGGGACGTTCTCTTCCCGAGAAGAAGCTGCTCGTTTATACGACAGGCTCGTTTCCGAGATCCTTTAATGCTTCGTACCCGTTTTCCCGTGTTAGTATTTCGTTTTCGTTATTGATTCAAACTAGTAATGAAATGATTTTGGAAATGGTCGATCTCTAGGGCTGCTTTCTTGTGCGGAAAAGAACCAAACTTTGAGCTGTCGGAGGAGGAGAAGCGCGAGCTCCGAACTCAGAGCTGGGACGAGTTCTTGGCCGACAAAAGTGAGATTTTTTCTTCAACACCACTTGCTATGTTATCGCATTCTATACATACATACATATATAAAAGTGTATATATGTGTAATCTCTGATGATCTGAGGATATATACTTCTGCTCGATGTCTGAAAATTGCAGATACTGAGAAAAGTATCCATATGGGTTCCATGGAAACCTCAACCTCAGAGCCTAAAGCTGAGCGGGGCGAGTCGTCGTCGTCCTGAAAGGACAAGTTCATCATCACCATCACCAGCAGCATCATCATGCTTCATTTCATATAAAAGGGTGAAAGCCAATTATCCTGAAAAGACTGGGAAATAAAGAAAGATGGGTAAAGTGAAAAAGGCTTCCATTTTTCCAATGTACAATTGAAGCTCCTATATTTGGACAAAAGAGATTTTTAGACCTTGCCTGTCTTTTGGTAGTTATAACTTATATTTTCAGATTCAGACATTGATTCTATCTATATATATATATTATATGATATCCATTATCCAAATGCCTGCATACCCACCCTTTTGTTTTCTGTTTTTTTTTTTTACTATTTTTTCCTTTGTTATTATTTTTTAATAAATAAATTTCGGCATGCTACATTTTTTGTTATTTTTTTCCACTCATTTTCGATTTTTTATTTATTTCTGCCTTAGTTATTTCTTTATTTTGTTTCTTTAACATGTTTCTAAAAAAAATTTCATTTCTTTTATAAATAATCCATTTCCATTTTTTTTTTCTCTCGTTTCTTAAGTTTTTTTTTTGGCAACAAATGTTCAATCTGCAAAGTACACATTTATTTTTCAACAAATATTTCCTTTTATTTGATCAACGAATAGACAAGTTTTAATTTTTTTTCCCTCTTTACTTTTCTTCGCCGTTTCTGAAGTCTTGTTTATTTGTTGTGAACTTGCGATCAAATAATATGTCAACAATGTTAATTATCTTTAAATGTAAGTAATTTATGTCAAATTAACGCCGTTGATCATATGTGAAGGATTCGGGCATGTCTTATTTAATTAGAGGATTAGTTTTTGTAACCAAAATTGGTTAAAAACCCACCGTGAGAGTTGTTTCACCAATCATATATTATATTATATAATGCCAAGTAATAGGTTAACCACCTCTGTATCCTCTATTGGCAACTATTTTATTATCAAATAACTTTTTTTAAAAAATTTATTAGAAAAATAAATACCTTGTTTTATGAAGACTAATTATATGTGTTCAATCATTTTATACACTAAAACAATTATATATGTGTATATATATTGGATTTTTCTTCTTGTAATCTTATTAGTTATTGCTATCTACGAATAAATGAGGATTGGACCATGTGTTTCACTTTCAGTCTATTATACCGATATATTCGAGAACCCAAAAAATAAAATTTGTCTTAATGTTTTTTTTTGATAAAAAATTTGTCTTAATGCTGAAACAAACAAGATGATTCAACTTATTTGGGAGTTGATATGCATAATCAAATCGAATGCTGAAACAAAAAATGGATTTGTATGTATACAATTTTTCTATATTGAAAAAAAAACTTTTGTTTTAAAAAATTGAAAAAATTCTAAAAAAATATATGAACTAATCAATTTTCACGCAATAAAATTCGAACTTTGTTTTTTTACAAATAAAATCTCAATTTGATTCTTGAATTATAAATAAATTTAAATTTTATAATCATTTTTATTTTTAAATTTATTACGTAATGATATTGTGATATATTATATCAGAATTTATGTTTAAAAATAACAATGATTATAAAGTTTAGTTTTATTTTTGATTGAAAAATGAAATTAGGATTTTATTCCAACGTTTAGCCTTTTGTTTTATAAAAATTGAAAATAAATTTTTTTTGGTAATTTACATGAAAAATTATTAAATTCTCGGGGTAAAAACTGTAATCAGTACAAGGTGGGTTGTTTATAGTAACAATCACGTATCAATCGTCCTCCTCCCGTTCATCTCTCTCTCTCTCTCTCTCTGGTATAGAAAGAGGGTCAAGAAGAAAAAAACTCAAAGGGATAAACAGAAGCAGGGGAGCTCAATCAATGTAAAGAAAGTCATCATCTTTTTGCTTTGCATCTCTCTCTTTTTGACCCTTCGTATAATAATATATCTGCATGCGCGTATATACAGAGAACAAAGGTGAATCATTGCAGGATTTTTTTTTTTGTTGGGTATTGTGAAAGAAATGCGAATTCTCTCTCTCTCTTTTGTCAGATTCGTTTTGTTGAAAGCATCTGAGAGAGAAAGCTGTTTGGAGCAAATCGCTAGGTATCCAATGCTTCCTATGTGATATTTGGATCTGTTGATTGACCGTTTTGAATCGCATTTCATGTTTTATCGCCCAGAAAATTTGGAAGTTTCTCGAGAAAGTTTGGGTTTTTTTTCCCGTGAATTCGACTTGGGATGAGAGATTTTTTGTTTCTTGCTTATGCGTTTATTTTCTTGCCGACGAATTCTGTCATGGGAATTCACTTTCTTGATGTTTTGTCGCTGACTGGAAAATTAGAATTTTCTCGGGAAAATTGTGTGTATCGAGGAGTCTCGAAACTGATTTTTTTCTTCGGAAGCTGAAATCTTAAGTTTCTCACCTCCTCGATTTTCCCGAGAAAATCTTCAAACATCTCGTGATTTGCGGAGTCACGTTTTCTTTTCTCCCCACAAAATGACAAAATTCCATTTTTTTTCCCAGCCAATTTCACCTGTCGTTCGGATCTGTGTTCGTCCACGATGATTCAAATGGAGAATGGCAACAGTCTTAGGGTCACATTATTAGATCGGATATCGACGGCGGAGAATCGCCGGAGCTCGACTCTTGAAGCTGTCCTCAGAGCCGACGAAAGACCTTCTCTTCCTCCTCCTCCACCGCCGCCGGCGTCGGCCGCGTCATCTCCGGCGAGTGCCGTCGCGAATCGGACCCTTCTTGACGTAATGCGCGACGATCGCCACCGCAACGGACACGGACGGGACAAGAAGGCGTGGAAGTCACTCAAGGAAAAGCTCCGGCTGAAGCGAAGTGCCACTGTTTGGACAACGCCGAATCCTATCCCTGTCGAGGATAACCTTGTACCGGACAACAGTGATAGCAGCAGAAACCGGGTCAACCGGCTCGGTTTTCTCCTCTCGGTTAACCATGAAGGGCAATCATCGCATTCCCAAACCACCACCGAAGAAGGGAGGCTCCGGTTACGCGAGGAGAGAGCCGTACCGGTCCGGTTAACGGATACACTGTTAGAAACAGAGACTCCGAGGATGTCTCTGATGGAGTTGTTGGATGACAACGAAGAGCAAAATGGTCTCTTCGGTGCCGGGATTTGCCACGTAGACGCCGGCGATGCGGAGGAGGAGGAGGCGGCGCCGGCGGCGGAGGAGAAAGGGTGTTGCTGTGTGTGTATGGTACGGAGCAAAGGAGCAGCCTTTATACCGTGTGGTCATACTTTCTGCAGGTCTTGTTCTAGAGAATTGTGGGTTCAAAGAGGAAGCTGTCCTCTTTGCAATGCCTCCATTACGGAAATTCTTGATATTTTTTAGTTTTTTTTTTTTGCTTTTGATCATTTCTTTTTTTTGGTGTTTTTCTCCATTGAATTGTGGATGAAGTTCTTGTAAAGAATATCATTTGCAGAAAAATATTTCTTCCCCTTCTAGATTCAATATGACCCTAATTTTTTTCATTTTTATTTTTTGCAGAAATCGGTTTGGGGAGATGAAAATTGCAATAAAATTCAATTTAATTGAGAAAAAAAATGTGATCAAATGATGTCGGGACATTTTTTGGTAAGGACAATCACCAAACTGAATTTTACTACTAAACTACGCCTTGCTGTTTGGAACTGCAACCAAAATGCAATCATGAAACTGGTTTATGCATTAAACTATCTGGTAAACTAATAAATAATAAAAAAAATCTCCTTAAATATTCTTGTACGGAAAGTAATATTCTCCTCTTTATTATTTACTAATTCTTTTTATTTTATGCATTGAACAAACATTTTTACTTGTATCGAAATTGAGTTTGAGAGAACTATAAATTTCTAGCCGATGAACAATCAATGGGTATGTAACGTATATAGAGAAGAGAAGATGAGATATTTTAACGGTTGTGATCATTGCTCTCCAATCCCCCACAAGTTGGAGCAAATTTTGTTATAATAATTGATTTCAAAAATCAATTTTTTAATCAACTTTTAAAATTTCTTATTTATAGTGATTGATTTGTTTAAACATGTAAATGGTTGTTTTATGTTAATTTTAATTATTACAATACAAATTGAATATTTTCTGATAGATGGTGGGGTTAAAAACACATTGGGAAAAATAATCGCTATAAAATTTTATTATCAAACCATTTGTTAATCCATTTTATGCATAGAAATTTAGATAACCGACCGGTTCGGCTAGCCAAACATTTAGTGTTCGGTTAAGCAAGGGCGTTAAACAGGCCCAATTAAGGCCCAAAACATTTGATATTTGGGCTTTGCCTGTTTGGTTCATCAGGAAAAGAACACGAGGAAGAGTGGGAAACGTGAAAAAACCAGATCTAGCAAGAGACCTCCATTTCCGAAGAGCTCTGTAGAAGCAGAGAGAATCATAAACCCTAGCAATCATCTGAAGAGACGAAAGGGAGCGAGAAGAGCAGGGACAAAGCTTCCAAAGATGAACATTTTCAGATTAGCAGGTGATATGACACACCTGGCCAGTGTTCTGGTCTTGCTCCTTAAGATCCACACCATCAAATCCTGCGCCGGTTCGTGCATTTCTCTCATTTTTCTCGAATTTTCTCTGATTTGTTTCGTCGTATGTCTCGGTTGCGAGTAGTTTTGGTTGTCTGGATCTGTTTTCCGGTAATTGTTCTGTTTCAGATCGTGTCACTCTGGATCTGGTTCTGTCCTCGTTGAAATAGAAACCGGGTATCTAGGGTATAAATTCGTAATCATTGCTTGTAGAGTCTGATTCTGTTCGACGTAGCCGGATTCTATGGTTCCGAATTGCTTGAATCGAAGAAACGTTACACATTGGGCTAAAAGTCGATGGAATTTTGATCAAGGGATTCTGGGCAATCACGGAATTCGAATTTCTACATGGTTTTCCGTTGATTATGGAAAGATTTCATGTTTGACATATGCAGGCGTCTCGTTGAAGACACAGGAGCTCTATGCCCTTGTCTTTGCTACACGATATTTGGATATCTTTACAAGTTACGTGTCCCTCTATAACACCCTTATGAAGATGATATTCTTAGGAAGCTCCTTCTCGATAGTTTGGTACATAAGGTACCATAAGGCTGTTCAAAGAACTTATGACAGGGAACAAGACACGTTTCGACATTGGTTCCTTGTCCTTCCATGCCTACTCCTGGCTCTCCTGATACACGAGAAGTTTACCTTTATGGAGGTCTGTCTCTGTCCAAAATTATTGCAATTTACTTTCCAGTTAGTTTTACGTGTGGTCTCGTGTTTGATGGGCTAGTTTTTTTTTTGGTGCTATTTGTTTCTGTGTTACAATATCAGGTACTGTGGACGTTTTCAATATACTTGGAGGCTGTTGCTATACTTCCTCAGCTCGTACTGCTGCAGAGGACGAGAAATATCGACAACTTGACCGGACAGTACATATTTCTCCTGGGGTATGTTTCAGCTTCATAGCTTCCCATCATTTGAATACGTATCCAATTGTTTCCTTTCCCTTTGATCTTCTCTTGACGGTGTTCATTGCTAGTGAAAAACGTTTGAACAATTTGATATCAAATGGATTCCTGCAGCATGTGTACTATTTTTCATTCAACCGCCTTTTCTTGTGTTACTCCTTTTGGCTTCCGAACTTACAAATTGTGTCCTCTTGTTGCAGGGCATACCGCGCTTTGTATATCCTCAACTGGATCTACCGTTACTTCACTGAACCACACTTTGTTCACTGGATAAGTATGATTCTCTCCCTTCCTCTGCCTTCAATTTTATGTGCAATCAACGCTTCTGAGCATATGAGCAGCTGTTTCTATGTGTACAAATTACCTTACATAAGCTCAACTTATGAACCATGACTGCATGTCATTATCAATGCCATCCCTTCAGTTCTTTTGATGAAGGCCTAGGTACATAACATCAACAATGCTTTTAACATTTAGCTTTGATAATCACGTGGGGAAGTGGCCATTTTTATTAATGGTATGGAGAAACAGAAAGGGATTCTCTTGTGCTCTACAGAAGAAACCTAAATCTTGTTCTATCAATGCATTATTGCCTGTCGCTATTGGCATATTACGTTACATGAATTCGTGGGCACTATCTTATCTGTGTTCATCTTGCACACATTTAACTGAAAGCTCTTTTGAATACCCTTTGTTTCACAGCATGGATCTCCGGGTTTGTTCAAACTTTGCTCTACGCCGACTTCTTCTACTATTATTTCCTCAGGTAATACAATTCTCGGCTTTACACCCTTTCTCCATCACGACATGATTCCACGACTTTAATTGTCTCAAAACAATGTCTTCCTTCCTTATTGTTGCAGCTGGAAGAACAACAAAAAGCTGCAGTTACCGGCTTAGCTTTTTTTACGTCGGAAATTCGCAAGGTATTTCGATCTGATAACACATAGCAAAATGCAGAGAAAATTTCGGAATCCTCCATCAGCCATTGTAGAAAAAGAATAGATGTACAAACTTCAGCTACTTTTGAATTTATTTCCTTGAAAAGTTTCCATTTTTTGAGGTTGCAAGATCTGGAGACAATAAGAGATGAGGGAGCCCTTGAGTTTGGTCTATAAATGTCACAGAGCGTTTGGAAGGGATTTTAGTAATTTACTTATCAGGTAGGTACATTTTTCAATTGCATCTATAAAATCAATAATAAACAATGTTGGGATATTTAATATGATAATAACATATTCATATTGAATATGGAGTATATGAGGCATGGATTAACAATTTGGACAGAAGGATAAATGTTTGTATTAATGTATAATTAGGGGACAGAACAGAATCCAAGTTGCAGCAGAGGTTGTTCTTGTTTAGATTTCTTCATGATGCACGGTTGTGGTGTGACGATTACTTGTAAAACATTTGGTGGTTTTCTCTAACGATAGATGATGCACCGCATAAAGTGGCTTTGTCTTTGCCATAATATATACGAACACACGAATATTTATATTCATATATTCATCAAATAAGATATTTTATGATTCTATTTTTTATCTATAAATATTATAATTACAATGATAAAAATTTCAAAGATTTTTCACCATTTTCTTCTCTATTCAGAAATGGCTCAAATTTGTCGAAAATGGTAGAGAATCGTTGAATTTATTGAAAATGGTTAAAATATAATTAACAAATATAAATATCTAAAATATAGAAACAGAATCCAAATTAAATATTATGATAATATTTTACAATATTCTCCCAATCTTAACATCTTCGAGGATATTCTTAACATATGATGTTAAAAAAACTTTCTTGTTATGGGCATGATTCATGAAGCTATGGCGTGGGGGAGATGTATAGAGAATTTGATATGGCTCTAACCCCTTTTGCCTCCATTTATGTCATGAATCTCCACTTTTTTCCAACTAAACATATACACACGCCCGCGCGTGTGGCGCGTGCACACATCATAATCGTAGTGTATATATATACGTGCATCAGCCATGCAGCTAATACGCACTAAAATTAAAAAAAAAACAAAACTTATTTTCATATACATACACTGCAGATTATTAAGATAACAGAAGATAATGGAACATGTTTTGATATTTTATTCTATGGCGTTACTCTTGATAATTGGGTCGGATGCTGGGGTTCTTGTGGACAGAGGAATCCACGAGAATGGAATTAGCTTTGATGATAAATACGTTGTCACATGGGGACAAGATCATGTTTTCAAACTCGGTCAAGGACAAGAAATTCAACTCTCCTTGGATCAACTTTCAGGTTAATTTCATTTTTTTTATTACAGTTTTTTTTCTCTCTCTATATATATATAATATGGTTTGAAAATCTATATGGAATGAAATATTAATCATAAAGCATGTGCATAGTACTAGTAGTTCACAAAACTCCTATGATGTATATGTGTTTCTTGTAAATTGCTTTAATAAAAAAATTTCCAGAGTTTTTCTTTATTACAAATAATAAGTTAAATGAAAGAGATGGATTTTCATACAGATGAACCAAAAAAAAAACATTTTGATAAAAGAAACATGAACGTTGATGACAACTAAACCGATGTTCTTAAAGATAACGTTGATATATATATATATATATATATATATAGGGGCGGATCTATATATAGGAGTGAGGGTGGGACACCTGCTCCCATTTGATTAATTAAAATTTTAATTTTTTTTTTATAAAATTTATAAAAAATTTAGATAAAATTCTTAAATGTCCCCACTAAAATTAAATTTATCTGTATACAAAATTTTTATTTACATATTTTTATTAATTTTTTTTATATTTATTAATATTATGGTCCCTCTTATAAATATTTTTGAGTCCGCCAATATATATATATATATATATATATATATACATGTTTGTATATCCGAACAACTTGAAACAATATTCACATTCAAATAGATCGGTTCATAGATCATTTCATATCGTTTCATAAGGTGAAAAGGAAAATAAAAGCAACGATTTTACCAAAAAAATAAGTAAATAAAAGCTACGAAGCAAAACATATATACATCAATTCGTTGGTATAATCGAAAAAATGTCGATTATTAATTTCGAAATCGTGACAGGCTGCGGGTTCGAATCAAAGAGCAGCTACGGATCAGGATTCTTCCAAACGAGAATCAAGCTGCCGGATCAAAAAGATTCCTCCGGCGTCATCACAGCTTTCTACGTGCGTCATCACACAGATATATACATGCATATATATATATATATATACGCGCATATATATGGTAAGTTGGGTATGTTGTAAATGGGCAGTTGACTTCGAAAGGGGAGAATCATGACGAGGTTGACTTCGAGTTCTTGGGGAACAGACAAGGGGACCCGATAACGCTGCAGACAAATGTGTTCGCAGATGGCAAAGGAGACAGAGAACAGAGGATTCTTCTGTGGTTCGATCCTTCCAAAGACTTTCACTCTTATTCCATTGTATGGAACCCTACCCAAATCCTGTATGCATCTATCTCTCTCTCTATAAGTATATCTATTGGTATATTATATAAATTGGATATTAAAAAATAAATGAAAAATTTTCAAATAGATACATTAATTTGTTAAAAAAAATATCTAAAAAATTATATATGAGTTTGTTAAATCTTCGAAAAATATATCGAAACTATAAATTTCTCTCGAATTCCTATATTCTGAAAATCTGTCAATAATTTTTGATTTGAAACGATGACTGGGTAATCGAAAAATATATATCATCACTATATCAGTGCTACTAATAAAAAATACAAGGTTATAAAAAAAATATCATGTCATCAAAATAAAAATAAATATATAATTAAATAAATTATATTTTAAAATAAAAAAACTTATTTTTTTTAAAAAAATAAATTTTTTAAAAAATTATATTTTATACCATTAGATATGTATATATATTTATATAGATACGTAATTACATATATATATATATATATAATAATATGTATATCTATACAATTATTCTGTTATCCTTCAAAGTTCAAATACCCATCATAATAACGAAACTAACTTTTAAATATATTTGTAGGATAACCAAGAATAGTTTTTGTTGAAATATATAATCTTTTTTTTTTAAAAAAAAATTCTAAATAAATACATTAATTTGTTAATAAAGGTTTAATCCAAGCAAAACTATATATGCATGCGGTCTTGAAAACAACTTAAGAAAGTATTTAAATTTTTTAATTCTATTAAAAAAAAATTCTTATATAGTCGTCTCATAATCACGAGAGACCCTGATATATATCTATAATTTTTTAAAAATTTATTGATTTTTAAAATATACTAATTAATAAATAAAAATTAAATTATATGAAAATAAAATAAATATTTGTAGAAAATAAGTTATATTAACTGTCATAATAGAAAAAAATTATAAAAAATAAAACATATCAAATATTCCATTTAAGAATAATACAAGTTAAAATTAACCTTATTTCAATAAAATATTTTATTATCCTTTAATTATTTTTAAAAAAATATATCATGATTAAAAATTATTTATACTTGATATCAATTTATTATTATTATTTTCACTATTTTTTAAAAAATTAATTATCATGATATAAAAAGTCTAATATTTATTTTAAAACTTATAACATGTTATTCTTCTTCTTCTTTTTTATCATAAATCTTAATAATTATTAAATTTTAATAACAATATTTAAAAAAAAAAGTGGATTCTAATAAATTGGAGATCCTTTGCGAATGCTCCATTTGCACAATTTCTAAGAGGGCTCTATATATTTTTCAAATTAATATCCTCAAGTGAACGCAATTCCTTTTTGCATATCAAGTTTAATATACCGAATATTTTTTTACCGCTACATAACTTGGATCTCTGTATCTTCTATAGGGGTGATTTAATTATTCTGATTTTTGGTTCCATTATATTTGGATTCTTTTTTAGAAAAATTATAACCATTTGTTTTTATATTGAATTTGGTTTGGTTTATTTGGTGGTTAGTTTTCATTAACAAAAGGTACTTATAACTCAATTTTTTCTATTTTAACAAATTTTAATTTTTTGACTTTTATATCGGATTCAGTTTTACTAATATGTTCATCTCGATTCGATCGATTCAATTATTCAATTAATAACCAAATAATCTATCCCTAATTTTCTAATACTGTAATTCAGAAATTTCATTTTATAAAGGGAGCAAACATATGATATGATTATATAGGTTTTATGTGGATGAGATCCCCATAAGGGTGTTCAAGAACAACAAAGACAAAGGAGTAGGCTTCCCGACCAAAGCAATGCAGGTAGTAGGAAGCCTCTGGAACGGTACTTGGGCCTCAGGGAAGACCCAAATCAATTGGGCCTATGCTCCGTTCTCGGCCCATTTCCAAAGCTTCGACATCCCCGGTTGCGCCGTCGACTCAAATGACGGAAATGCTCTCGGCACGTGCGGGTCCGCACAGGACTGGTGGAACGCGGGAAAGTACGTCGTGGGGCTGAGCGGGGGCGAGGAGAAGGAGTACCAGAACGTGAGGGCGAAGTACATGAACTATGACTACTGCGTTGACCGGTCTAGGTACCCAACTCCCCCGCCTGAATGCGTTTGACGGATAAGGGTAATATGGTAATTGTAATTTATCGGGAAATGTAATGTGGGTGATGAATAATAATCTTGTGAAATTTCACATATGAATTTTCAAGAATTTTTTTTTGGAATTTTCATTAAAAAAATTGAATAAAAAAAATTACGCAGTATTTGAGTTAATTTTGAGTTATTGGGAAATGTAATGAAGATGATGAATAATAGTCAAGTGAAATTTCGTTTACCAAAAAAATAGTCAAGTGAAGTTTCAGATGTGAATTTCAAAAAAATTTCAAAATTTTTTTGGAATTTTAATTAAAAAAATGAATTTGTTGAGGGTTTCCAAAAAAAAATTACGCAGTATTTGATCGTCTAAATATATATATATATATATATATATATTTAAAATCTGTCTCGGAAAACTTTCGTACCTTCGGCCGGAATGTATTTGATGGAAAGCTATGGTAATTTTGGGTTATTGGGAATGTAATGATAATAATAATATCCAACGAAAATCTCATAACTAAAAAAAATTCAGAAAATATACACTTTTTCACTTTAAAATCATGAATTTTATATAAAACTTTTAAGAGTTTTTGTAAAATTCTGTTTTTTATTTTTTCTAAAAATTCTTAAATTCATGATTTTATTTAGAAATGATAAATTTTCGTGTATTTTCGTGATTCGTATGTTTAATTGTTATTCTATATGACACTTGTTTGATTTTATAAAGTTTATTCAAATCTATGACACATCGATATTTATAATTTATTCAAATATACGACACGTATATAAAGGAGAAGATTTTGTACGCGAGCCAAAGTAGAGAACCGAATTGCCGACAAAGTCCGGTTTGGTTTTTTCCGGTTATCGTTTTCTGATAAGTGTAACGACAACCTCTGTGCATGTTACCGAGGAATCTTCAATGTCCGAGACGCCTCAAATCACTGCTATCAGCTTGTAAATACAAGCGACCCATCACCCAAACTCACGCACTCATAGTAGCGACCGGTTATGTTCATCATGGGATCTCCATTTTTTGCGATCTCATTGCTTCCTATGGAAGAATCGGAGAAATCTCTCATGCATGGAAAGTGTTCGACGAATTGCCTCACAGAAGTGTTTCTGCTTATAACTCCATGGTTGTCGCGTATTCTCGTGGAAACAATCCAGAAGAGGTTGTACGCCTTTACAACCAGATGATCGATGAAGGGTTTCGACCCGATAGCTCAACGTTCACTGTGACGATCAAGGCATGTGTAAAGTTGATGATCATGGAGGAGGGAGAGAGAGTTTGGGGTAAAGCAGTAGAATCTGGATATGGCAATGATGTGTTTGTATGTTCATCTGCGCTGAATCTGTATAGTAAGTGCAGGAAAATGGATGAAGCTACGGTTCTTTTCCGTAAGATGACGAAGAAGGACCTTATTTCTTGGACAACAATGGTGACAGGCCTTGCACAGGCCGGAGAGCCGGTGAAAGCACTTGAATTCTATAGGAAAATGCAAACAGAAGGAATGAATGGCGATGGGATTGTAATTCTTGGCGTTTTACAGGCTTGTGCTGATCTTGGGGATCGGAAAACGGGTCTTTCCGTGCACGGATATTTGATCAGAAGAGATCTTCCGATGAACATCGTGATCGAAACCAGCCTGGTTGATATGTATGCAAAGGTTGGTCTTTTAGAGCTTGCTTGCAGGTTTTTCAACTCGATGACCGATAAAAACACGGTCTCGTGGGCTGCATTGATATCTGGCTTCGCTCAAAATGGTTTTTCCGGGAATGCGATTGAAACATTGGTAGAAATGCAGAACCGAGGTTTCCGACCTGATCTAGTGTCCCTTGTCGGGGTTCTTTCGGCATGTTCTCAAACCGGGTCGTTGAAGACAGGCAAATCTATACACTCTTACATCTTGAAAAGGCATGTTCTTGATCAAGTCTTGGCTACAGCACTCGTGGACATGTACTCTAAGTGTGGTGCCCTTTCTCGTGGAAGAACAATCTTTGATCAAATGGAAAGGAGAGATTTGATTTCTTGGAACACGATGATATCTTGCTACGGAATCCATGGGAACGGTCGGGAGGCACTGGAAATATTTCTCCAGATGACAGAATCGAACGTAAAACCCGACCACGCTACCTTTGCTTCTCTTCTCTCCGCTCTAAGCCACTCAGGCCTCGTGGAACAAGGACAACACTGGTTCGGCCTCATGATCAACAAGTACAAGATCCAACCGAGGGAAAAACACTACGTTTGTATGGTTGATCTCCTCGCTCGGGCAGGAAGAGCAGAAGAAGCTGTCGACACTATAAACTCTGCGGAAAACCTCGACCCGGGTTTGCCCATATGGGTTGCTCTGCTCTCGGGATGCATCAACCACAGGAATTTCTCGGTCGGGGAAATGGCGGCGAGGAAGATCCTCGAGCTCAACCCGGATGAGAGTGGAGTTCAAGCTTTGGTTTCGAACTTCTTTGCAATGGCAGAGAAGTGGAAAGAAGTGGCGAATGTGAGGAAGATGATGAGAAGCTCGGAAATGGAGAAAGTTCCGGGCTTTAGCGCCATTGAAGTGAATGGAAAGCTTGAAGCTTTTCTCATGGAGGATATGAGCCACACTGAACATCACCACATGTTGCAGGTGTTGCAGAACTTGGATTCTGAGATGAGAGAGAAATATTATATGTCTCTTAGCATATAATATATTTTTTAAGATCTTTTGGTTGCAAGTCTATTACTATTATTGTAATTAGGATGGCCATTTCGGTTTTAAGTTCGGGTTCAATTCTATTAATTTTAGATTCGCTTTTTTCGATAATAAAAATCTATAACCGTTCATTATTAATTTTGGTTTGCATAAGGTTTTTTATCAGTGAAAAAATATTTTTTGAAATAAATTTTTAATTTTTTTAGTTAGTGTTTATTCGATTTAGTAAAGTTTTGATTTTTTTTTTTAAAATTTAAAAAAGTAATAACTATCGGATTCGGTTTCGATTTCGGTAATCTAGAATGGCCACCCTAATTGTAACAATTGCATAAATATTTGGTTCGATCTTTTAAGGCGTATGGGTATAGTGTCAATTGTGAAATGGGCCGTTCTAAGGCCCAAAATATTAATGTCCATTTATTAATGATTTTAACACGTGCGATTTTTTAGATCCCATAGGTTCTCTGTGGTATATCTTCGTTTCAGTGTTATCCAAAATTTTTCTTAAATTTTGTTCTGTCAGCTGTGATATAATATATATGTAGATATATATATACTACCATTGTTTGGCATTTTGACTTTTACTCCATTAAAAATGTTCAAAATGTTGAAATCACGCGCATGAAATATTACTGTTTAGATCTTAGTCGGGATATTTTTGGATTAAATATTAAAATTATTTGAGTTGAACGAAATCCGTATCAAATTAATTTTTTTTATATTAGACTCGATTTATATATAATTTTATGTTATTGGACATGTTTTTGAGACCCAAAATTATTTTTATGTTATTGGATTATGAAGCCCAAAATTATCACATAATTATAAACCGATTTTTATTGTAAGTATAATATTTAATCATCATCTTATTATACTAAACACAGAGATAAGAGAAAACTTAAGCCTACATAGCTTTTGGATGTGAAATGTGAATTCAGTGAATCTTGAATTTCAATAAAAAAAATTATTTAAAAAAAATAAAAAAATGAAAGAAAATTGACAAAAAAAAAATTTAAAAAGAAAATTGACAAATGGAGGAACATTGTTAGTTGTGGAAGCCGAGAAGTCGCTTTCAAAATGTAAGGCAAAAGTGTGGATATTTAATGCGAAAGGACATGAACTATAATGTATTCAATTATTTGTAGTTCCATTGATCTTTTCAGAATTTAACATTTTCAACCAACTTTTTTTTTTATATAAAATTTAAATTATATTTTCTAAAAGTTTTATATACAAATATAATTTATATTCTTTCAAATAGAAACTATCGAGATAATTTTATAAAGATGTTGAAATAAAATAAACTAAATCATCGTAGTTAAATTAAATATGATCAATTTACTAATAGCTGTTTGGTTTGCGATGTTTTAAAATTTTATAAAAAAAAAATAGTTTCAAACATATGGCTGATAAATAAAATTGCGTATATAAAAAATATTGAATTGTAATAAATGAGGCTTAAGATTATATGTATCAAAATACAACCATTGGCTGATAAATAAAATTTTAAAATGTTTTTTTTTCCATAACTGTAGCCGCCATTGACGGTAACGGCGTCAATTTAATTTCGTCCGCTACAGCCACGTTTTTTTTTCATTTGCAGCTTTCGACTACACTTTTTCGAATAATTTAATTTTGTCTGTATTATTTTCCTACAAAATTAAAAAAAAAAAGATTTACATGTGAGTGAATCTACTAATTTTTCTCCTTTGTTTTGGTTTTGATTTTTTTTTTTTTTTAAGCTATTGACGCCGTTTTCTCATGAATTTGATAATCAATGGTTAAAAATTTACGACTTTTAGAAAATTGAATATTTTTAGAGTGTAAACCCAAAAACTAAAAATTCGTAAAAATATCATATATCTAAATTAATTTTCAATATATTTTAACATTAGGTTAATTTTCTAAAACATTTATTTTTCTAGTTTTAACGATTTTTTAAATCAATTGCAGTGTGCAACTGCAAGGAAACACCAAGGGGAAAAAATGGTGAGTGGCGGTAACGAAAAAAAAAAAATCGAGAGCGAGAGAGAGAACGGTCAAAATGTTACCAGTACCTCCGGTCAACGGTTGATAAACCTTTTCCCCATCTCTCTCTCTCTCTCCCTCTCTATCTCTATCTGTCTAATTCTTCTCTTCGTCTTCGTCTTCGTCTTCGTCTTTCGTCTTCTTCTCCTTCACCTTCACCTTCTCACGCAAATTCCGTTCTCTCTCTCTCTCTCTCTCTCTCTCTCTCTCTCTGAAATTCAGGTTTAGAAGTTCTTCTTCTTCTTCTTCCGTGCGAATAATCGCTATTACAATTCTGAGTTCTTCTCTGCAGGGCTCATCGGATTTGATCGATGGAAGTAAGTCGAATCTCTAGCTCTCAATTTTTTTCCTTCTTCTTCTTCTTCTTTTATGCCTACAGTGCTGTTTTGTATTTGGTTGGTGCCAAGACGATGGAAAATCTCCGAACTTTTGACGTTTCCCCGGGGGGAAAAGTTTGGATCTTTCCTCGATGTTGCATTTTATTCGCACTTGCCCTTGATTCTTGTCTGGAAAAAGTTTCATGGGTCGTGGGAAATTCTCTATTTTTCGGGGTTTGTTTGCAAGATATGACTGGGGGTTATTCAGATTTTGGATCAAGTGGAAAAAAAGTTTCCATTTTTATCTGGGAATCCTCAGTCTACATTTAGCTCTCCAGTGACCTAAAAAAAAGTCTGTGTTAGAGTGTAATTTGAGGGTTTTGGTTAAAAAGGGGAGATCTGAAGAACACTAATTCCTCTGGAATTGCAGTTATTCACTGATTAAATGGGCGTTCTTTGGGTGATCGAAAGGAACCCTTCGGTGAATTTAAGGAGAATTGGAAGTGCTGTCTTGTTAATGTTTAAGCTCCATTAGATGTCGGAATCGATTTCTTAAGTGGGCATAATTGCTCAGACGGTCGATCCTAGTGGATCTTTTCAGCATATTGTGAGAATGTCGTGCCATTGGTTAATCTTGAAGGCTAATGAGTGTGTGTTCTTGTTTAGCATTCTGCGGCCAAGCCCTTGATTTGTTCCCCTTACCGATTTCGAAAATCTTGTGAAGTTTGTATAAAAGCACGTTTTTTCTAGAATGGATCTTTCCAACTGATCAAAATGTTTCTTGCGGACAGCGTGGGAATGTTCCGAAATTCGGCAACTGGGAGAGCGAGGAGAATGTTCCTTACACAGCTTACTTTGAAAAAGCTCGGAAGGTTCGAACAAGCGGTGGCAAAATGGTGAACCCGAACGACCCGGAAGAGAGCTCAGGTTTGTATGCTCCAGCCTCTCCTCCTCCTCCTACAAGACCTAAGCCTGAGCAAGAGGAGCCGGTTAAAAGACAAGCTCGAACTACCTCTGCTGCTGGCTCTGAGAACAATAGTTACGAGAGATCTCCATTGCATAACCATGCAAGGACGCCCGGTAGGAGTGTCGGCGCCCCCTCGCCTCTATGGGATGGAGGCAAGAACTCGTATGATGGCACTGGAAGATCCAAGCCACGATCCAACAACATTAGGGGTGACGAAAGCGTAAAAATTTCGATTCTCTACTCCTCTTTTCGTTTCGGTTGTTTCATTAACATTATTTTTCCGGGTTTTGAACCTAAAAGCTCACTCCTGTACTGGTATGATGGTTTCGTTAACATAATAAATACTGGATTCACGCTTCACTCAGATACGATTTTCTTCACTCTACATGTTTAGATGTTACATCTCTTACCTGGATGTGCCTGACATTTTTTTTCGTATCTCTGAACTCATTGAACTGTACAATCAGTTATGCAAAGAGTTATATTGTTTCCTTGAAGATGTCTGGTCTTGCGTCGAGTTTGCATTAGTTTGATCTGTTTGTTTGCGGGTTTTTTTGCTGAAGATGCGTTCTTTTTCACGTTTGATAGCCTGACAAAGGTACAGTCGTGCCGAAATTTGGAGACTGGGATGAAAACAACCCTTCGTCGGCCGATGGATACACACATATCTTCAATAAAGTACGGGAAGAAAGAAATTCTGCGGGAACGGGAACAGGATCTTCGAGAACTCCTTCTCACCCGAGCACCAAACCACCTTCAGACGGCACCAAGGTAAAGACTTTCTCGGCTTGTTCAAGACCCCTTTTTGGTCAGTTCATCTTTCTATGCATCTAGTTTCATTGTCGGAAAGAAAGAAGCAACCTTGAGCTCGGTTTACGGGAAAACATCTAAAAGGGTAACGGATTCTTGGTCCAAGTTTGCGTCTTGATCTGATTTCTTGTATCATTACATATCTCTTCGATAACTTTGAACGTTGTTCTTCATCTCTAATTCCCAGTGCTGCTGCTTTTCTTGGGGAGGAAAATGAGGGGATTTTCCGGGAAGATTCTTGGATCTGCTCGAGTTTACGATGAAGTTTGTATATAGTATCGAGGAAACGTTGGTTAATTTATCGGTTTACATCTACCTTGAAGCTGTTTCGGATGAAATAAGGCATCGGTTCCCCGGCATAAGATTAGAGAGAAAGCTATATGTAATGTTTGTTTGCTTTACTTTTGTTTATGTAATTCTTCCAACTTGTTACCTTTTGTGTTTTCTTGCTAGCTTTTGTTAACATTTCTATGTGAACCCTTTGTGTTTGGTTGGAGCAATGGTCGTTGCAGTAGACAGGTCCGGTACGGCTGTGCTCCGGTTTAGTAAACCGGTTTTAGGTTTCTCGTAATTAAAACGAACCGAATTGAAGCTGAGTTTACTAGTTTAGAGGTTGAATAGACGGAGTTTTTAGAATCCACAAACGAAAAAAGTTAAATTGAAATATTTTATATATTTAGTTGAATAGATGAAGTTTTTTGTTTTATAATTTTTAAAACTTAAAAATATTAATCAAAATCCTGTAAAATTAGTTTTTTTACAAATTTGAAAAATTATTTTAATGAAAAAATAACTAAAAACATATTTTAGCATTTGTTTTTTTTTTTCTAATATGAAACGATTAAAAAAAAGCAATTATGGTATTAAATTCTATAGTTAAGATGTGATCGTGGCCGTAGCGAATTGCATCCCCTACCTCGTGAGTCAATAAGTGACAGTCAACGATTGTATCCGCAGATGATATAATGGACGGTTCAGATTAATCATACAGCTGGGTTGCGTTGCAGAGGATTATTTGTCCCTCCTCCCAGCGCCAAATTTTGCCGCTCGACCAAAAGTTTTGGAAATTTCAAGTTTTTAACAGACCAAAATCAAATCCAAAGATGGGACGAAAGATTCAAAATTTCTTTAATTTGAAACTATGGAGCTTCAGATCTCTCTCTCTAGTCTATCTCTCTCTCATGCTCTTCCTCTTTGTTCCTTTGTCTAATTTGATTGTCGACGAGAACCTGAAGAGGAAGGGATCCGGATTTGGACTTCGGAGCTCCGAGAAGAACTCGAATCGAATTCTCAGGTACTTCGGTTTGAATTCTGATTGAGTTTAGCAGAAAAGAAGCTATCGAGTTTGTAATTTCATGTCGCTTATTGTTGACATCTGGTGAATTTGGGTTCGGTCCTCCGGTAGGATTGACCGCAATGGCTGGAGTGATTTAGGGTTCTTATTCAGTGGATTCAGTCATTTTCACATCTGGGTCTAGGGATTTGCGAGAAAGCTCTTGTCTTTTTCGTTTCGATTTCTAGGTACTCAATTTCGCAGATATGGTGAGAGTGCAAAAGGTCGAATCGTTCTATTCTAGGCTCCGGGAATCAGCAACTTCTTCTTCTCAGAGCCCTCTTCTCATATTCCCATCCGCTTCTGATGTTGATTCTCTCTGCGCGCTCAAAATCATCACCCATGTCCTTGAATCTGATTCAGTCCAGTATTCGTGTTTCCCGGTGTCTTCTTTTCTAGAGATCCACAAGTACGCAGGACCTGGGTTGTGTTCTTCGTCTGATAATCCGATTACCATCCTCCTAATCAACTGGGGTTGCCACCGTGATTTGCGGGCCGCTCTTCAGTTAGGTCCTGCTGCTCGTGTGTTCGTTGTGGACAGTCACCGACCCATTCATTTGCATAATCTGAGTGATAGGAATGATCAGGTCGTTGTTCTTCACACCGATGATGATGAGCAGCAGGCAGATCTGGCGTATGATTTCGACGTGTTGACATTGGCAAACGAGAGCTTTCAGCTACATCTAGATGGAGAAGAAGATGAATCAGATGATGAGTATGAGAGTGGGAGCGACAGAGATGCAGAAGATGAAGAAGAAGATGGTCATAAGAGTGGCAGCGATGATGAGGATGGGGATGGTAATAGGTCGAGTAAGAGGAGGAGAGTGAGCGACAACGTGAAGGTTTTCAAGAAATTGAAGAGGGATTATTATTGGATGGGTACTTTCCATGGCAAACCATCTGGATGCCTAATGTTTGAGCTGTCCCATTTGTTGAGGAAGAACACGAACGAGTTGCTGTGGTTGGCTTGCGTTTCTTTGTCTGATCAGTTTGTCCATGAGAGGTTGACTGATGAAAGATACCAAGCTGGTGTCATGGAGCTTGAACAGCATATCAACAGTTCAGGAAACATAGACAAAGTTACTTCTGTTACTCTGAAGGATGGGACGAAAATCCGAGCGCCTGATTGCTCAAGAATCTCGTACGAAGAGGAGCCGAGGCTTATGCTTTTGAGGGAATGGACATTGTTTGACTCCATGCTTTGTTCATCATACATAGCTACCAAGTTGAAGACTTGGAGCGATAACGGCATCAAGAAGCTCAAGCTTCTTCTAGCTCGTATGGGGTTTGCCCTTATTGACTGCCAGCAGAAGTTTCCATACATGAGTCATGAAGTGAAAAAGAAGATGAAAGAAGAGTTTGACAGATTTCTGCCGGAATATGGTCTAACAGATTTCTATTACCGAAGTTTCTTACGACTACACGGATACAGCTCAAGGGTTTCAGCTGCGGATGTTGTGTATGGTGTCACTGCACTTCTTGAATCATTTGTCGGGTCAGACGGCTCCTCCTCTGCATCAAAACAGTTTGGTCAAGCTTATGATGCTCTGTCCTTGAACAATGTCGATAAGCTGAAATCGGGAATGCAACAAGCAATTAGGGTTCAACGGGCGATTCTCAGGCAAGGAAGCACAGCAATTACCAAGAGCGGATGCATTCGAAGTGGAAGAAAATTCAGGTGGGTAAAGGTTGAAGATTCACTGGATTCAAAGTACTTGGGCTATCCCCAAGCCTTGACAAAGTTCTGTTACTTTCTGATGGATGCATTGAGAGAGAAGGGAGCTCGGATGAAGCCGATGCTTTGTGCTTGCACGTCTCAACAGCCCGGGAAAATCCTGATCGTCGGGGTTTGTGGGAAGCCGAGGCTTGGGGCAGTGAAAGGGAATGGATTTGGAAATGCTTTCAGGAATGCAGCCCAAGAAACAGGAGCAGATTACTTCCATGAGCTGTTTGAGTCTTCATGGATAGTGTTGGATGAAGTTGGTGTTAATTCTTTCATGATTAGATTAACAGAGAAGCTCTGACACTGATGACACATGAACATGATATGGTGTTTTTCTCCTTTGTACACCTTCTCTCCATATTGTTTGAAGATCAAGAACTCATGTAACTTGTTTTTTAGAATAATTTTTTCTTGTGAAAAAGGTTTTTTTTTTTGGGTTTCCTCTTGAAACATAGGACAGGTAATTTCCTCTTGAAAAAGGTTTCTCGAAGACATCAGAAACTCCTCTGTCTGGTTCTTCTTTTGCCAAACGGTGCTGCCTCTAACGTTGTTGGCCGGGACGCAAAGGCCGGAGCCACAGCTACAACAATCTCCGCGTCCAATACAAAAGCTAAGCCAATTGTCCGAGCAGCAGCAGCAGCAGCCGGCCAGTACAAAACCAGAAACACCCTCCTGCCGAACAAGCCACAGCAGAAGCCGCTGTCACAAGTAGCGGAAGAGAACACACATTCCGCGAGCCTCCCGACACAAAAGTGGAATGAGGGCGAGGCATATGATCCAAAGTTGGCTCTGAGTAGTAGCCGTGGACAACATTGTACAGGGGTACTACCAGTCATCAATCTCTCTGCCAAGACTCTTAACAGATGGAGGAAAGCTAAATACCAGAAGGGCAGAAGATGGTGGGAGAACTTTGATGATTCTCCCATCATCAAAAAAATTGTTTTTTTCTCCTTTTGGTCTTTTTTATTTTAGAAATCAGATTGAGGGCTTGAATTGCACATGCTTTTGGGGGGTTTTAAAATTTAAAAACAAAAAAAATTGACAATCAAGATTTTTTTGTAAATTTATTTAAAAAAAAAAAAAAAAAAAACTTGCCACATATAACGTGTAGAAACGCCATGTGGTGTGCCGAAAATGTAATTCCTTTTCCCAAATTGATTATGTAAATTTTATTGTTGGCCAAAGAAAGGTAATTAGGGCTTTGACTTTTTTTAAATGTTAATTTAGTTTTATCTGGGCCGTTTTAAATGGGCCTTATTGGCCCAATATCTGATATAACCCTAAATTACCATTTTAAAAAACAAAGTGTAAAACCCATCAAATAAGGAAACTCCTAACGACCCAAAGCCCTACTTACTTTTTTTACCGTAAAAGATTTTTTTTGTTGATAAAGCCCTAAAATAAAATTTACATAATCAGTTGAGGAAAAGGAAACATACGCGAAATTTTCAGCCTATATAATACAGTTTCCGACCACAAAGTTTATTGTTTTCCCCATCAACTCTACGCCGAAACAAAAAAAAAATTATCAACGAGCAATGTCGATTAAGCTTCAGTCCAAAGACGGAGAAGTGTTCGAGGTCGAGAAGAAGGTGGCAAAGATGTCGACCATCATAGCATTCATGATGGAGGACGTGGAGGATGGCATAATCCCCATCCCCGTAGCCGCCGCCCCGACCCTCTCCAAGGCCCTGGAGTACTGCAAGCACCACGTGTCCGAGCCGAAACCCGAACCGGACCCCAAGGATTGGGACGCGAAGTTCATGAGACAGTTTGACGGGAATTTCCCCGAGCTGGTGGAGTTTATGAAGCTGGCCTCGTATCTGGACATAAAGGGTATGCTGGATCTGGCCGCGTCAAAGGCCGCGGATTTCATCAAGGACAAGTCGGTCGAGGAAGTCCGAGAGCTTTTCGGCAGCGAGAACGATTACACGGCCGAGGAGGAGAAGGCTCTACGCGCCGAGTTTCCATGGGCTTTTTAGTTTTTCTACTCTTATATATGGTCGGGACTTTCCCCCCAACTTCTAATAATTTAATTAAACCCTAAATAGATTTATTTTACAACTATAAAAGGCAGCGAGATGATTTTTTATTATTATTATTTTTTAATAATTAATAAATACACCGGTTACATCTTTCTATTCTAAGGTGCGGAGGTCGGCCATGTGATAATCCCTCCTTGATTGGGATTCGATCCCGGAATTTATCGGTTGATATAATAAAGGATGAGATTTAAGAATATTATAAGCACAAATTTTAATCTAAATCTTTTTCATTCAAGTTGTATGTAATGTTGATTTCGGGTGATTTAGTTGAAGAAATACTCTTTAGGGTTCCAACCAAATCCTTAAAATATTTCATATATATCACACCCACAATTTTTTTTTTTAAAAAAAATTGACATTAGATCGAGTAATGGTTATAAAATATTATGGAGAGAGATTTTCATCCAAAGTTTGGATTTTCCCACATTTGGACCAACTTTGATATCCATTCACAACAACTTTAATCTAAATTTCCATGTGGTTAAGATTCTAATGTTCATAACATTAGGACAGTTTATATTAATCTCTCTCTCTCTCTCTCTCTCTCATCTCGCTTCCTATGGCAATCATCTTCTCATCTGTGTATGAAACAATCTGAAAACCCCAACCAATGTGGTTACAGAAATGACTCTGTGGTGGAAAATCCAAGCAAACATGGTGAGATCTCACCTGAAACCTGCGGTTTTATATCGTTGGAGGGGCCAAGTAGTAGCCGAGATCGTGCCTCTCGGGGGGGAAAAGATCGGTTTTCACGACTCGGGAGGGAAATACGTACAACTTCTTCGCCAACAAGAACTCGTCCCCTGTCCATAAGAACAATGCTTTAATCCTAAAACGTTTGCCAATCCGAAGGTTCGAGGAATATGAGCTCGAAAACCTCGGGAATAAGCATAGAAAGATACAGAGTTCGAGGTCGAGGAGAATGTATAAATTAGATGTAACATAGATCTGTTGGCAAAGGTTGATCAAAACCCAACAGTATGCATATGTTATGTATGATGATGACATGTATGTATGTATGATGATGACATGTATGCGTATGATGACATGTCATGGTACATCGGGAGAAGGAGTACTTACAGTCGAGTTGCTGAACTTCAAGCTTTCCAGTGTCTCGGCGAGTTCAATTTGCTTTGACGCGGTTAAAATCAGCGCCTATGAAATAGATTTCGGATTCTAAGGCCACCCGACCAGAGAAGTAGAATCTCGAAAAAAAAAGTAAGAGAAATTTCTTACCTGTTTCGTCTTCTGCAGGTCCTGTTCGATGGATTTGATGCGGTCTAACGAGTCAAGGAGCATATCATCTTTCTCGGGAGGAATCCTCGTCGGTTTGTTAAGCAAGTCAGTTACCACGGTCTCGAGATCTTGCAACCTCTGCATACACGGATGAAGTGAATCCCTTTGCACGCACTGCTCGGGAGCAGGAACTGTTAATGTCGGTCTCGGATGATTCTCGGGCCGTTTATTCACAAATCTCCTCAAGATCCGGAGCACGAGAAACAAGCCAGTGACGAGTTGGAAGACGAAACGCGCCAACGAGATCGTTCCTTGGTGAAGAGAATTCTTCAAGCTCCTTCCCGGGGTCTGATTCCTGGTTAAGCGAGCTGGAGAAAATGGACAGCAAGGTTATGCCATAAAACAAACATCTAAAAACTGAATCTGTAGTGTTCAGACAAGTAGATAACGGTAACGCATAGTGCATTATTCACGTACTCGTCGAATCAGAGCGTTCAGTTCTCATGATACCGACTGCTTCAGCTCGATCGTTGCAGAGAAGAGGACGCTGGTTCTGAAAACATAAGACGGGTTTGAATACGTTTATCGACAATTACTTCGACATGAACAACCAGAAACGCAAAAATATCTAACCAACCGGTTCGGATTGCGATAATCTTTGCATTCCATCTCTCGTTGTATCGGTTCCTGCATAAGACGATGATACTTCTGTCTCTACTTTTTGCTGCAGAAAAGTAGAAGGACGATGTTTTTTGTAGAACAGAAACAGAAGCATTGTCTGAACGAGGCGGTTAAAAGGTACACTCACCCGGAAGGAAAATGATTTCGCTTCTTCTCTTTCCTCGAAAACCCGTTTCTGTTTCGTCTTGTACCTCGAATCCCTCGAGCAAACCAGCTAGAAATACGACACCATAGTAGAGAGTTTTTACTAAATTATGCTTCGGAAGAAGTATATCGGGTCGATAAGAATCGATACCTTCATTATTTCCGGGTTTTTCCAAGGCCCTTTGTCAGAACGCATGCATCCACCTTCATCCGAGCAAGAACAGCTTCCTCCAAGAAAATCTGGCAGCTCGCTGTATACGGAAAAATCGCCATCTCAATCTGAAGAAAATCAGAAGATATTTGAATTGCCGAGAAGGAAGAAATCCCGACCTTTGATCGATAACTTCGAGCAGTTTAGTGTGAAATTTACTGCCCAAAACCTGTGCAGTGAGAAATAAGAATCTCTAGACAGGTTGAACACCTTAACAATCCAACAAAACGCATATATATACACATATACACACATATATATAAGATGTAATACATGTATCTTTGCAGCGGTTCTAGGATCAAGAAAGCTTTTCGCTGTGTTCCAGACAAGCTTGAATCCACTTCCAGCATTAACTATGAACATCTGACGTAATGTCTGTCTCGAAACAACCGAAAGCAGTGTCAGTGTCAGAGTCCTTCCATGGCTGCCGTAGATATTCTGAAGCACGAAAAGCTTTCAGATATAAAACCCACCTCGGGATAGTTTTCCCCGTCGATTTTCTGGATGTGCATCACAAGGTCATGAGCTAGTTTCCCAAAGCTCATCCAGTTCTTCACGGAAGGCAAAAACCGCTTTAAAGATTCGGAAAATGAAACTTAACGTAACCGAAATGTTGGTTGAAAAAAGATTTAGATACGAACCACTCCTTGAACATCTATTATGGCTGTCGAAGAATCTATGTGCCTTTTGGCTGAGATAGAACACGCTGGAAACTTCTCGGAAAACGTCTTCTCAAAACCCCGAACATGATACTTTAAAAATCGTTCCACTGTAGTAACCTTCATCAGCTTGCTCGGGTCGATTTTCCCGAGCTGCTCGATGTAAACAGGTCGCCCTTCTCTGTCTACACCATGGTAACCATGAGGATAGTATCGTTGTACTTCTTCATATTCATCATAAACAAAATCCTGGAGATTTCAGTCATATACTACGTTAAAGATTTAAGTATTTCTGGAAAATACAAGACAAGATTCATATCATGAACTCGTTGATGCTTCATATGAATCATTAAAACTCGTATCCTTCACCTGTATGATTGTATCTACTCGGTTTTCTTCCCTCCACTTCAGCATTTCTTCCCACATCTGGATAGCTTTTTCGAGCTCAAACTTCCGTGCTTTCAAGAATCTGTCAACGAAAAACCGGAACCAATCATGCGGGGAAACTCAAGATTCATACCGACATGTCTAAAAATCGAGACTTTACGGATCTTTATCGGCACCCATCAGATATGAATTCGATCACAAATCTTGATTACCTCAACATTGAATGGTAATCATCGTGCCGAGGAAGAAGCGAATCCCGGGAAATCAAAGCTTTTCGAAACGAATTCACGGCCTTTTCCTCTTCCACGTCCCTCACATCTTCGATCATGATCTCTGCGGCATACTGATCAGCTACACGCTTTCCTCGTTTCCTGAGACTGTGTGTGATTCTTGATGAAGCATTGATCGCTTTCTTCTTCAATGATCTAGAACGTGTTCTTCTGATCTTTTCATCATCTATGACCTCAATTTCCAAACCTTTACCATTGTCGGATTCTGGAAACGAAATTATCTCACCTAAAGCTGGAAAAAAACAGATCAAAGACATGAATACAGAAAAAGAAAAAAAAAAGACAACTGGGTTCAGATTTTGGGAAACAACGCCTGAAAATTACCTGGCATTTGGATGATCAAGGTTCGAATGGCAATATGGAATTCACTGTACCTGGAAAAAAAAATACGATTCCTCGATTCAGATCACCGATACTGTGAATCAAATGCAGAATTCAGCACAGGTAAGTTGCAGATCTGTAGGAAATCCATGAAATCATTCAGAAAAAAAATTAAGAGCTTCAACCTCAATCAGTTAGATCACAATTGGGATCAAACCCGACAGCAAACGCATCTAGAAAACGAGACGATCATCAAAAGAGATGCGATAAAGAAACTACGATTCCTCAATTAAGATCACCGATAAATGATCCAACACTACATTTTTTCCCGCAATCCGTACCTCCTCCTGATTCACCGGAAGAACAAAAAAAAAATAATTATCCAAGAGATCTCGCAGTGCTAGGAGTATCCAAACGGATATGCCTGATTCAAATCAAGGAACGGCCTCTCTCTGTCTCTCGCTTTCAGATTACGAAGTTATGATCTCTGTATACACACACACATCTGCATATATCGATGTGCATGTACACAAGTATATATATGTATGTGTGCGTTTACAGTTTTGCTGTGAGCGTAGCTCGGAGGAAGAAGAAGCGTCGTTTTCAGCCATGCATTTATATACAGAGACGGGGGGAGAAGGTGAAGCTGAGGCGGGTGGAGGAGAAGAAACAGAACCGAAGCCGAGCAGACGATAACCGGATCGAACCGGACTGAATGCGGGAATTTCATTACCCGGTCCATTTTGGTTTTGGTCAAAGATTTTAGCCGCGGTAATTAAGTTTCGATTAGCGGAAGAGGTAAGGTTGACTTCTATAAGAAGAAAGCCATGAACAGGGAGAGGTAGACTTTGGGAGTTAACGGCAAGTGACGGACTTTAACGGCGTTTTGACGGTTAAGGGTAGGGCGTTTGGTGTTGCGGTGGTTGCGGCCCGCGTAGGCGTTAAGCTAAGGTAACGATTTAACCCCCCCCCCCCCCCCGTTTTTTTTTTTATTTTTTTTTCATTTTCA